CCCGTTCAATTTAAAAAAATTATTATTTTATAAAAATTAATAAAAAAATAAAGTTCCGACGCTTGCGTTTTAAATCTGGTGGTATGCACGATAGGTAGAACGTTGTTCGTTTTAGTTGCATTTCTAGCTTATTTATTTTTCTTAAATATAACAAATGTAAATGATAATAATATTAATGATGTTATTATTACTCTTTGATTTTTTAAATGTTTCTTTATTTTTCTCTAATGTATGTATCATCAGAGAGAAACCTGAGAGGCCACGCTGCCGTTTTTCGTAAGACGTTTTTTCTAGGCTGTACACTAGCGGCGCGTACATCCATTTTACAGCCACGGACATGAACCAACCAGGGCTCTTTTACCATCCCGGAAAATGGATGTGGCCATGTAGTTCCAGGCAGGCTTCTTGCGTCTCAAAACTGGCGTTACTTGCTCCAGCTACTTTGACAACTTTATAATTAATGGTGAATTTTTCAATAAAAAGATTTGTGTGTAAACGTGGATAACATGGATAGCATGCAGTCAAAAACTTCAACTGAAGATATCGATGATGGAGATAACACTGAAAAAGTTGAACTTACTTGGAAAGACTTAGTAAGTACTGAGAATTATAATAAAAAATGTAATGTTCAATTATAAATTAAAATATAACCTCAAATAAAGTTACACATGTGTTGTCAGTCATACTTTGTAGATACTTGTAAAAGAATATTATTAAATTAATAATTATAATTAAAAAATTTTAAGATAGACAAGTGAAATTTATAATTATTGTTTAACATTAAAAAAGTATTTCGCGTGGCACAATTAATGTTAGGTTAAGTTAGGTTAGATTGTGTGCTACATAGAGTAAGCTATAAACATTTCTTACTAATCTTCTGACAATACACTTTACATAAGTTATAAATAATTGCTATTGCAGGGACTTGTAGATGCACTTTGCAAAACGTGTCTTGATTTAAAATGGAAAGAACCGACTAAAATCCAACGGGAAGCTATTCCTTTAACGCTTGAAGGTAATTACACATTAAATGATTTAATTACAATTATTTTTTAGAAAGTGACATTTATTTTTTCATTGACAGGGAAGGATGTGATAGGATTAGCAGAGACTGGATCTGGGAAAACTGCTGCTTTTGCATTACCCATACTGCAAGCATTATTAGAGCATCCTCAGAGATATTTTGCTCTCGTATTGACGCCTACAAGGGAATTAGCACTCCAAATTTCAGAGCAATTTGAAGCACTAGGTAATAATTACTTATCTTATTCGTGTAGTGTTCAAATTTTACATCATATTGTGTATGTTTAGGTGCCAGTATCGGTGTGAAGTGTGTAGTATTAGTAGGCGGGATGGACATGCATGCACAGGCCTTAATATTGGAGAAAAAGCCCCATATCATTATCGCCACACCTGGAAGATTGGTCGATCATTTGGAGAATACAAAAGGCTTTAATTTAAAACAGTTGAAATTTTTGGTAATTATATAAGTCCACATAAGTTTTGATAATTGAATCAATTCTAATCTCACCTGATTTTAGGTCATGGACGAGGCCGATCGTATCCTGAATATGGATTTCGAGGTAGAACTTGATAAAATTCTCAGAGTGATACCACGGGAAAGAAGGACATTGCTATTTTCCGCGACCATGACTAAAAAGGTACAGAAACTGCAGCGTGCGTCCTTACGAAATCCTGTGAAAGTCGAAGTGTCCACCAAGTACCAAACTGTGGAAAAACTGCAACAATATTACGTATTTATACCAGTGAAATTCAAGGTATGAAATTAACAATCTAATCTAAATTGACTTGGTTGCTTAAATCTTGAAAAAATTGTATGAATTAATTATCTGCATATAAAAAATTAATTGTGGCAGGACGTGTATCTGGTACATATCTTAAACGAACTGGCAGGCAACAGCTTCATGATATTTTGCGGAACCTGCAATAACACCGTGAGGACCGCTTTATTGTTGCGAAATTTGGGATTCACGGCGGTTCCCTTGCACGGGCAAATGTCGCAGAACAAGAGAATAGCCGCGCTCACGAAATTCAAGGCGAAAAACAGATCCATATTAATTTCGACGGACGTAGCTAGCAGGTTTGTTCGTAATCTAAATACCAAAGATGCCGTTGAATATTAAACATTACCATATAAATTTTGAATATTTTCTTTTTACACAGAGGTCTCGACATTCCGCATGTAGATATCGTGATCAATTTCGACATCCCTACACACAGCAAAGATTACATACACAGAGTGGGTCGAACTGCGCGTGCTGGTCGATCGGGCCGCTCCATCACTTTTGTCACACAATACGACGTCGAGCTGTATCAGCGAATAGAGCAGTTGATATCGAAACAGCTGCCGTTATATCCTACGGAAGAGGAGGAGGTAATGTTACTGCAAGAAAGAGTGAGCGAAGCGCAGAGAATAGCAAAAACGGTAAGTGTAAGTTTAAAACGAGCGATTTGACGATGCAGATGGTTGTATGTAAATGTTGTGTGACTTTTTAGGATATGAGAAATATAGAAGATAGCAAGAAGTCGCATAAACGGAAGCGCGGCGGCGACAACGAAGACGACGACACGGAACAGTTTATTGGGGTGAGAAAAAGATTGAAAGTGAAAAGCAAAAGAAAGAAACATTAAATAAAGCACGTTTGTAAAGTACGTCATTGGTGTTAATTCTGTGTATTAATAATGGCAACTGTACGCTCCTGGCGTACAGGCAGTCCGGTTATCACACGCGTAGCACGGAAGCTTGCGCGCATGATTATCACCTGACAATTATTCTATTGTCGCCACGATATTATTATAATAAAGCTTACTTTTTTCTACGACTTCCAAAGCCGACTTTTAAAGCCGCACCACTGAATTAAACCTCAGCGCGACATGTTACGTAGCCTAATTCGCAATATTTCGTTACAAGAAAACTGTGGACTTTGTGAACAAGATTGTACGAGACTCGATTCGACAGTGCAGCTTCATGAAGAAGAAAAATCCAACGATCTTTTTTTTATCCTTATCACTATTTCATCTCGTTCATCGTATATACATCATCTTCTCGTGCATTAGATTTTCTAAATTTCTGATAAGAGGAATTTGCGTCGTATAGATTGGATTAACACCTCCTGTAAAGTTCGTAAATACAATTAAGCAATAAGGCAAACATTGTTATACTGAAGAAATTAGTACTGTATTTTAACGACTTGTAGTCTTTGCACAGAGCAGTATATGGTATTTAAATATCACTCAAATAATCACAATAAAATATATTAAGTAAAATCACAATTCTTTCTTTTTTTTAATCATTTGCGGTGGACGCGTTAGGGGAAATTAACAAAGCATCGAAGACAAAATTTGTTATTATACAACAAACAGAGGTCTTCTTTCGTTTGCACGCTTCTATTTGAGTGTTATCACAAAGCAGAATATCCCGTTTACGAGAAGAAATGCGGATAAAGGAAAGCACGTTCGTCCCTACAGCAGAAAAATGTTATAACGATCGTTATAAGTATCGTTTATGTACAGCTTTTACACTACTGTAAAATCGATAATTGATTGATTTTTTTTTTGTTTCTCATCAAACCTCTATAGAAAATCAGTAATCCATTTTTTGTACAAGTTTTTGTAGTACAAAATACGGTACAATGGAACACGCGGTAAGCGTTCCTTAAAATTTACAACTACAATGCATCCTCTACTCGCTAGAAGATTACGAATCGTATAAAGTTGCAACAGATTCTTATTACTTGGCTTTTGGTTTTTCAGAAATCGGCGCATATATAAACGCGTATCGCGGAAAAATATAACAAATATAAACGTGCATCGGAGAATACTTCGGTGCTCTGCCGCATTCTGTCATATCGTTGCGAGAAACACTGATTCGAAAAATGCTGCAGCTTGAAAATACCGCGACACCTATCACGCATTTGACTCGGTTGTCAGTTGCCATCCAGGTTGTTAACAAACAAACACTTTTAACGCGGGCAAGCGTTACTCAATAAAAAGACGTTAGCATTATATATTATTATAATAAAAAATGTCCTTTCGACGCAGTCGAAATCACTGTCGTGTGCGCGCTGAGATTAAAAAACTACAATTCTATGCCGCAAATCTCGGTAAACATTTGCCCTGATGTATTAAAACTGTTGTCGTTTTACAGATTCATATTACGGTTCTCTCTTCGAATTGTCTAAAACAAAGTTGAAAAAAAAAAAGAGAAATGCGTGATCGTATGATTCTGTCATGCAAATAATGTCGATCGTCGCAACCTCTGCAACAAGAGTATCTGCTTATAGAGTACATGTATACGCTACGCTTTAATCGGTAATCAAATTTCTTCTCTATCCCGCTAAACAATCGTATGAGAATCTCAACTTAGTTTTTTTTTTATCACTAGGGAGGGATGTACATCTAATCTCGTTGTCGAAGTGCCCTTGCGATGCTGAACGACGCGTCCATTCCAAGTCACTTCGATCTCTGCGATTTTTCATGCGAAGTTATTTATTTCAAGCGTTGACGTTACTCCTATAAGTACAGTACCTATAGGACACTTAATAAAAATCTGACGGAATTTTTGTACAGAGAAGCATCAATTATCTGAAAACAATAACAATATTATTCTGCCACTAAAAGATAAAATATATTATTGGTACAATAAGATTGCTTTCAAATTATGGAACAATATTGATTGATCTCATTTGAAAATAACAGTTTTACAGTAACAAAACCTTATTCGCGCGCGCTGGAAATTATTGACAGCACCGACGATTTGCAATAAATAAATTCGCACAGGGAACTCTCTCTCCCTTTTCCATGATTCTCGGTGAAAACAGATACGCATACGCGTATTCAATATCGGTAGTAGCGATGAACGTCATTCGACAGGCTTATTAATTAGTAAAAATTTGCCTCGTAAAGTATCGAATCTGAAAACTGCAAAAACTGTGTTGTGAAAAAGTAGCTTAGCCTAGCGCGCTACTACTGTTTAACAATACGCCGGTACAATTCTTAGATTTCGACGACGAGCCCCAGCCTTTATCAATCGTTAGAACGCATATAAGTAACCTATTTCGAGAGCGGAGTTTCTAATTACGAAAATGGATGGAATGTTTTCCGAAAACGTGGGTTGAGATGATGTGCTAGTGTGTGACAAAAATCGAAACAACTTAGGTTTCATTCAAATGAGAAATAAAAAATATATTCCATAATATTATTATTCACTATTACTACACATTCTGTACATTAATTCAATTTAAAGTTTTTACCTCATACACTTTATACAAAAAGGCTACTTATAATCTAACATTAAGTCATACCATAGCATGAGCGCCCTCCACCTTACCGCCAGACGGCGGACGGGCCGCACGCATGTTTGTACTGGTATTACAGAATCAGTCGCCAGCAAGTGTTTAAACATCCTCTCCCTCTCTTTCTCACTGCCTTTCGTTCTCTCCCGTTATCATACAGTTTACTGAATCATCCCATGTTTCTGTGGTGCTTCTTTTACAGTTTTCACTCACCCTCTTCGTTTTCTCGTGCCGTTATCATTTCAACAACTACGATTTATTCCCACAAATGATCTCTTTGTCTTGCTGCTTGCCTAGTTCTTTTTTTTTTTTAAATTCTTTTCTGTTAATCTATCTTGCGGTTTTTTCTTCGAAAAAAAGAAAGAAATAAGACCCTCAGTCTGTGGTTACAAGTGCATCGAATTAAAACGTCGAGGCAGAAATAAATGTGTGAATTTTTCTCTCTTACACGTATGCAAGACAAGAAGTCACACTGTATATTTCCTGCTGCCGACGTCACAATCTCAATACAACGGCAATCAGAGACCAGGAGTCTTAAGAAAGATCGTCACAGCATCGAAATGTAATGAAATGCTTTCATTGCCTGCTATACACAAATTTGTTCCTTTACTCTTATTTTCTTTTTTGTTTGCATCGTATTGTTTATCGAGCAGAATCACCTTCTGCGAAATTTCAAGTGACACAATACCGATACAGTAACACTGCATTTCGAAGACTTAACGAGCAACAGAACTATTAGTTCAGGTCTCTGTCCTCTAAGTACTTGTACTCGAAAGTAAATCCTTCTTTTTTCCTCTGCCCCCATTTTTCGTAGTCAAAATAGATGTACGTTCCCTGAAACGCAAGCGAGTCTTATAGAACGACGCGCGGTCATCATCGCCGGGAATAAATGCTCTCTTAAATGAAACAGCTTACTTCGACACGTTTCGTTAACCCCTCCGAGGATACAAAATGATTTTTCATGACATACGGTTCCCCTCCCCCCCGCCCGTGGCAAAATTGAACTAGAAGAAAGGTGCACTAACCTGCTCATATTCCTCATTAATGACTTTCGGTTCCTCGTGCCTTTGGAACCACATCATGTACTTGGTGTGAAACCTCCAACTCTGTTTTTTCAGAGCCTTCGCCGCCAAGTACTGTCCCTTAGACCCCTCCATGTAATAAAATATGAAGAATAAAGTTTCCGTAGAAAGGCGTTGGAAGAACTCCACGGTATCTGAATGGGGAAGCTGAACCTGATCGAAGCACGTGCGTGTGTTAGCAGCGTAAATTCGCGTTCAAATTCGTCGAATGCGGGTAGCGAATTACGGATTTAGCCTCAGACTGGAGATCGTAAAACGCCACCTAAAAAGCGTACCTGCTGATAATAGGGTGGCGTCGAGCAGGTGTTTCTCGGCAGGTACGAACGTAGTCTTTCCGAGTCAGACGGATGTGGCATGTGATAGTAGGCGGATTCCATCATTTGGAACTGCACCTGGTGTTCCTTCTGCAACGGCACGGGTCCGAGGGGCGCGACCCCAAGCAAGGGAGGAATGTGTGCTTCCGACGTGGCGTTGGTGTTGTTGTTGTTATTCGTCTTGGCACTGTCGAAGATGTTTCTGTTCGGCTCGGAAGGCGGTATCTCAAGACCTGCTCGGACAATTACTTGTTGGGCAATGGATTTTAGAGAGGACATGCTTCCGTCAGGAAGCTTAGGGATAAGACCATTGGCAGTGGACGGTGCTGGCGAGCAGGAGTTTGCGGGCATCGGCGAGGATCTACTGCTAACCGACGACTGCGGCGACGAGGATGGCGGTACTGGCGTCGTCATTTCCGTTTCGCTACTATGATTCTGATTCTGCTGACTGTGCAGTACGTGCGTCGTCTGTGCTGGCGCCGGATTATTGTTGTGCTGCTGCGTGACCGTTTGCGGCACACTCGACGTGACGTTGGACGTAGACGATGACAAAAGATTATTTTCGCTGTTATGGGCTGTAAAATCGAGAGAGACTTAATTACCAATAGCGTTCAGCGCTTTATAGATGGCCGTGAACCATCGTTCGGATATGAAAACAACAAAAAAAGTATCTTACTGGATGTTTTATTAGAGGTAGAATGGATGGCTTGTGAATTGCTGTGCGAGGCAGCTACGGTGGCAAAGTTGCCAGCGTTAGTCGTGGCAATGTGATTGCTCGTAGAACTAGGCGAGCTGTGGCTAGGCGTCATGGGAATGGTTTTGCTTGGAGTGCTGCTCGATAACATATTCGATTTTATGGTGGCAGTGCTTCCCGTGGTTGGAATGCTCGCTTGCGTATTCAATAGCGGCCTGACTGCTGTCGGTTTCACAGGCTGAAATCAAAACGCAGACGTCAGAATCGCTTCGCGATCGTCGGCTTTCCTTCAAAGTTGCAACATTTCGATCTCCACGTCGAGAAGAGATTTCCCGAATGAAAATCGCTCGGGCACGTACCTTTGTTTTCTTGTCATTATCTGTAGAGCTATCGCTCGAGTGATTATGCATAGTAGAGCTTAATGATGGCGATGGTATAGGCGAAGTACAAGAATTAGTCGAAGTCGGCGTACCCCCGGTTTCGTTGCTGTTGTTACTGTCCGTCGTTGCTGACGAGGGGATGCCGACTCCGGACAACTCGACTTCATCGAGGCCGATAATATCGTCGTAAATATACTCGTTTTCCTCAAAATCGGGATCTTGCGAAGATTCAATATAATACTCAACATCGTCCTTTATCCTTTTAATCTGTTGACGACACCACAAGTAAAGTAAATGATACGGTTCACGTTATTTCGCTTATGCTGACTCGAGATACACTTACTGTGTTGACTTCGACAGACATGTTATCAAGCATTCGTAACAATGTTTCCAATTTACGAATGTGGTAACGGTGTTTATCGAGTTTCGCTTTCAATTCGTCCACCCTGTCTTGCTTATCTTTGTCTATCCTCTTCTTTTTTCCCGCTTGTAACGATTCTATTTCCGATTCAAACGTATCCATCTATGTAAAGAAAAATAGTGATAGGTACATTACGACTGATGGCGTGATATTTATCGCAGACGATTCGGGATGCCGTCAATGTGACAACTGGTCTTCAAAAGTACCTGGAGATTGAGAGCGTCTATGGAATTGGCTAACCAATTAGTAACCTCGTCTTTTTCTTTCTGAGCTGGATCTAACTTTTGAGCTGCACCTAAACCCTCCTTCGAATAAGCCTTTGTTTTTGTTTCTCTCTCAACAACTTTAAATCTTTCCATTTGCTGTAAAGCATAGAGCATGTATTATGATGTACACGCAATATTAGCTATATTTAATTAATAAATATACTCACAGTTTCGATTAACTTCCGGTAATCAAGAAGTGTACTCTTGTCTTTTATTTCACCCGACGCAATCCAGCTCTTAATTTGATCGCGTAACCTTTGAAGTTTCTTGATTTCCTTTTTGAGATCAGCCTCGTATTTCTCCTTCTGATTGCTGTTGGCGGCATTATGGACTTTTTGCCAAATATCTTCAAAGGTTTCTACACCCTCTGATACTTTTTTAAGGCACCGATCTATTTCACCTGAAATGACAGTACATTTTAAATCTCTTGTTTACTTTCTTGACATAAAAAGTGTTAGATTCTATTAAAGTTATTTAAAAAGGACATGCTACTCTCCTTCTTCTTCTAATTCACTGTAAGTCATAAATTAATTGTATAAATATAACAAAGAATTAAGTTAATTTGTTTTGCTACACGAGTAGACTTGAAATTCAATCTTACAATCAGCTTACTCTTCAAACAGAATTTTAAAAAAATTAAAAAATCATATCCTTTGATACATCATCAATAAGGAAAATGAGTAAAGCAGCAAAACAATGAACATAATCTTCTCAGAACCAAATCTAAAAAGAAACTAACAGAACAGAATACAAAATTAACAAATAAAATGTACACAGATTACAAATACATTGATTATACATACGTTGCACAAAAAGTATACAAAAATAAATACACTGACTATCCATCTTAATTACAAACACTGCAACAGACTATCTATTTCCCCATTATTCTCTCTTTCATCAGAGTAAAGAACACACTTATCCCATAGCAATCCATAGGTAACAACTTATACCCATGGCACGAGACAGCGCGTGTACAAACAGATCTCAAGATACACAGCGCACATCTTACGCTGCACAGTGCTGTAACTAGTTTAAAGTTTACAGTTTAAAGTTTACAACTTTTAAAGGTTATGCCAATATCAGTTAGCTGCTGTGTCCGGAACAAAAGATTTTAAACAGCAATGATTGTGGGGGGCAAGCAATGTAACATTAGACAGGGTTAAATCCACAGGGGGCAAGGGGGGATGAAGAACCTGAGTCGCAGCGTACCGTTGTAGCCATTGGAAGACGACGCTGAAACGCGAGGTAAAATTTCAGGGCCTACACACGGGCCGAGAAATATTTAGTCTCGCGTAAACGCTACACAAAGCCCATAAAGGATTAAAATACATATCGTAAGAATTGGCAATAGTATCAAAGCAGCGAGAGCGCGGCGACTCGAAGGCAAACAGCCGTGCTGAGAGATACTGATCGACAGAATGGAAATTCAGAATGTAAACACGTTGGACACTTTCTTCTCACCTTGCAACTTCCTTGTCGCAGCCATGGCTATGTGAACGTGTGATAAAATGGTTCATGCATAGTCTAGACGTATTGGTAAAGATACGGTGCAATTTATCGGAACAAATAGTCGTAGAACTATTATTCCTCGAATAATATGGGAGGCTCGGCCACAAGATGGCTTCCGTTTTCAAATGACAACGTCCGACCGTCCGTGAGTGGTCGCGCACAGAGATCCTCCTCGGTCCTGTCTCTCTAGAGACTTCGTGTGACGCCGTGTCCTGCGAGCGCGACGCCGATGTCCGTGTGTGCGTAAATTGTCTCGTTTTTGCGGCCTGCGAGAGATTCGCGAGGAGCGAGCAGCATCAACAAACGATATATATGAGATACGAGAAATGAGATAATATAATACGCATCGACGCATTCGCACACATTCTATCCCTGGTACATATACACTTAGGTGCGTTCGCGAATACGGCGTCACGCGGTCGACCGTGATGCAGTGCAGCCAACATCGTTGCGCAACTCTCCTCTAGATATTTTCGCGGTAATAATCCCTCCATAAAAATTTTCCACAAAGCTCTAGCGCGATTCACGCTGCGTGCGCTTACGGCGTTTGATAGCCAATGAAAAAGTTTGACTTCTAGGGATTGACAAGACGTTTCAGTTACTCTACAGATAACACATTTTTTTCTAGAGATTTATATAAACATGTGATTACGGTCTGTAAGTACGTGGTTGATTCTTAATTGGACACGCGTTGTTCTATAACATTATTACTGTTGTATGATTGGCCGATTTTTCCGTGCTTGTGCTTTACACTGTAATTTTACTAAAATCTGGACAGACCTACGGGCCTTTATAAGCGCGTTCGTAAACGAGGCTGTTTGCACGCGGAGCGTATCATTTATCCGCGATACGTTTATGAGAATATCAAGAGTTTCGTTGATCAGAGGATTCGGTGCTTTTTAAGTACGCCGACGTCGCCGGTTCGCCAGCCGGTTGCTCGCCGGTCGTCGTCGAAAGAGTGGGGGGATGGGGAATACTGCAGACACTAGTATACGCCGGGTATACGCGTGTATATTCGAGAAATGCCGTCGCATCGCCGTGATTCAAGATTTCGTGTGACGACCCTGAACGGCAACAGGCAGCAGGTAGTGACGAGGCATTCGCACTCAGTTTCGCAGTTCTGCTTGCACTCAACTCTCGGCCGTCGTTGCGTTAAGTCGTGTCCGCAGCAACAGCAGCAGCCGTCGCCTCGTGATCGTCCACGCGGATCAGTACCGCCACCAGATCCTGCGTCCGTAGTGCTCGCAGACTCGGGCTAACCTCGCAAGTGCAACTCTCGAAGGCGGCGAGTCGCGGCACAGTCGCTATGACAAAAGGTGGCATCACTGGGGATGCGTTGGAAGCACGGACGATGCAGCGCTCATTGATATGACGCCATTTTACTAACCTTTTCGTCGCGTACCGCGACTACAGCCACTGCAGAAGGCGCCTGAAAAACGTTTCGCACTACGTATCGCACTCCACGCGATCACAATCGTATCGTCGCGCACGCGACATACGAGATTGCCGCACGCACTGCGAGAGGTGAGTTGTGAATCTGATTTTCGTGCATCGTCCGCGCCCGATCGCGGGAACTCGCGCTCGCTCTCCTCCGCGAGTCGTCCTTGCGCGAACGCCTTTTCGTCGCCTTTGTTTCCGCGTCATCGTACATTTAGCTCTCGCGTTAGGGATCGCGACAGTGTTTATTTCGCAAAAAACCGTTGGAAACCATTACGGACGGTCGATCTTGTGTTGCCAGGATTTGATGCCTTCTGGAAACTTCGTTTCTTCGTCAGTTTTATCACTTTGGGCGATCGCGAAGTCAAAAAATGCAACGTGATTTTTCCAGACAACAACTGACGGTCAATTCGAGCTTTTTTATCGCGCAACGAAAGATGTGAAATCCCGTGAACGGAATTGCGACGAAGGATCGTCCACGCATCACGCGCACGTTACAATGTAATTAAATTGCAATACGACAATCTCGATATCGGTGTCCGATTGAGTAGATTCTACCGAGTTTGTTTCAATGATCCGTCTGTTTGTATTGGAAACGCGCCATTTCTGCATCTGTGTTCAAGAAAAATCTGCATTCACAGATAACTTCGAGTTTGACTTTATATTGTCTGAAACATGTATAGACACATGTGATATGTATCCAGATGCAATACATAATTACGCATTTCAGGTAAATTGCTGCAGCAGTTTGCACTATTATGGAAGATGAGGATGGAGAGAGCAAAATAATAGATATGTGGAACATTTTGGAGGAGCAGCAACTCAAAGATTCCACATTGAGCAATGCATTGAGACATTCCATTGACGACGTGTACACAAATGTGATTGAGGAGGAGAAACAATTGATAGCCTACAACTCGATCGTTCGGAAGGAGTCGTCAGGTAAAAATACCGTTGCAGGGCCGAAGCTTGCGTTCAAGGGCTTCAAGAAGCGCATCTTAGCCCAGGCGCGGGAAGTTCACACCGCCGCGTCGCGGAACAGCGCACCGGAATCGCAACAGCCGACGCATCCCAATGCACGCGGCGGCAGGGACAGGCGGGCCGAGAGAAAGCGGGAGCGCAAGATCGCGGAGTACACCCAGTATCTGGGTCTGCAGCCGTCCGCGCGGAACAGATGCGCCAAGTGTCACGCGTGGTCGAACTGCGATCCGAATCTGAAGCAGCAGAGCTCATGCACCTGCAACTCTAGCATGACGCCCATGCCCAGCACCTCCGAGTCGAGTGCCACGCTGTCGCATGCCAGCAATTACAAGCGGAAGGTTTATTTGTGCTCGGCGTGTAAAATGTACTATGAAAATTGGAATATGTTCCTGCACATGAGGGAGATACACAAGCGTCACATATGTCTCTTCTGCTTGGGCATGTTCGGCCACGCGGAGAGGCTGCTGCACCATCTAGCGAAGAAGCACAATGTCCCCGAGATACCGTTCGCCACAGCGGGGGACTTTCACAACACCTTCAAGGGCTCGTGCTACCTGGTCTGCTGCGACTGCGAGAAAGTCTTCTCGGAGACTGACGATTTCTTCAGCCACTATTGCTCGCCGACGTTGACGCAGGAGGCGACCGACACTGGCACATCGGTATGCACCATATGCAGACAAACCGGCACGCACGCGAGTACCTGTAATTTTGCGTTGTTATCAGATACGGACAGGGAATCGTACGGCGCCGCGACGCCGCTGACGGTTGCCGATACGACGCGCGCGGACAATGCATCGCCGGCTACCGTCCCGCTGCCGGAGAAAACGAATCTTGGGGGCAAGGGGCTGCCGAGAAAAGGGATCAAGTACAACAGGAACAGACACGGCGGGAACGGTGTGCAAAACTCCCGCCCGCAAAAGCTGAACTCGTTGGCGAGGAAGCTCGACACGAAGAATCGGTGCAACGAGACTCAACCCGACTGCGACCACGATGTTCAAAAAGAAATAGCCAACAGTTTAGCGAGGGACACGGTCACCGAGACAATAATGGAGGTGTCCAGGTACACCGGCGGCGACTCGTCCGACGAAAACGACGAGAATGACGAGCAGGCGGTGAATAAAGACGTGTACAGCAGTCGCGACAGAGGACTGGACGAGAAGTCGCCGATTCAGAATTGTCAGCTCGATCGCAGCGAGCCGTACGACAGCGTGACGGAGACCATCATGGAGGTGTCGCGATACACAGGCGAGGAGGATAGGATTGAGAGAAGGGAAGACTCGACGTGCACTCCGGACACACTCGCGTCGCATCACGAAAAAATGGACACCGAGGAGGAGGAGGAGACGTGCGACAGGAGCAACATCCATCCGGCAAACTTGGCCAGCTCGAGGGCGCCTAGTCCAGTGCGGTGGGAAGCCGAGGAGCCGGCAGACGCGAGATCGAATCCCACGTGCGAGTCCGGAATCGAGTCTGGCTGTCGATCGTGCAGTCCGCGGGACGCGCGAAGCCCCAGTCCGGTCAACCGATCGCTCTTCAGTCCGCAACACGAGTCGCACGTGTCCAAAGAGGAAGAACATTTCGAAGATGACGAAAAAGTCGAGGTCCAAAAGAAGGAGGACAAGCCTAACGCGACCGCTGAATCTCAAGCCACATTCAGCGCCGTCGCTTCGTCCGACAGAAGTCTGGTCATCAAAATCTGCAACAGAAACTCGCAGTTCAGCGTTGCGACGACCACCACGGCGAGTAGAGAGTCCGAGGAGAGCAACGCCGACGGCTCGAGGGAGAAAATATCGAACGGCGCGGACAAGGAGAGGAATCTCGGCGACGATCAGGCGAACGAGTTGAACGACAGCGATTCCGACAGCGACAAACTGGCGGTGGTGGACAGCAACCCGGAAGAAGACGAGGAGGACGGCGAGGAGGGCGACGAAGCGGAGGAAGAAGCGGAGGAGGACGTCGTACACGACGACGCGGGGGACGGGAGTCAAGAAAATCAGGAGGGAAACGGCGGTAATTTCGGAACGAGTATCGACGGATTCGCGGAAACAGCGCCGAGCGGCGACGTCGGCGAGGGATTCGCCAACAGCGAAGTCGAAGGACCTCAGGCGGAAGGCGCGGCGAACGATCAAGCGAGGAGCCAGACAATCGGCGACGATGGTATCGCGTTAGCCGGCGAGGACGTGCCGTTCATAGATCTGAACGTCGAAGGCACTCTGGACAGCATGGAGCTGGAGGAGCTGCTGAAACGCTGCATCGAGGCCGCCAGTCCCTTCTGCGTGTACTGCAATCACGCGCGGTACATCGCCGTCAACGGCAAGCAGCTGGGTCTGCACATGCTGGCGGAGCACAAGTTCCAGCCGCAGCATCCCGCGATAATCATACACGCGGAGCAGTTCGTCGCGCGCGTCAAGAGGTCGCTCGAGGAGCTCGAGTCCCGCCACTTCAATCTCAACACGTACGACAGTACGAACGGCACGTACGACGTGCCGGGCGTATTGATATACGAGTGCTTTCATTGCAGATTTCACTCCACGGTGCACAAAGAGCTGTACCTTCACAATCGCAAGATGCATCAGAAGACCATTTTGAAGTGTATAATGTGCAAATCGTTATTTTACAGTTACAGCGAGCTGGTCTGCCACTTGTGCCCTGGAGTTTACTCGCCGAATGTGAATCTGCGATACCGATGCTGCCTCTGCTCGACGACCAGCCTCCCGTCGACGTTCCGACTGATGGTCCACCTGCGCAAGCGTCACCACGCATGCGACGTTTGTCTCGAGTCCACCGGCAATCAGCAGCGTCTCTCGAACCACGTGTGGAAGCACAAGCTCCATCATGTGTGCTACAAATGCGGCATCGCGTACCGAAACAAGCCGGACATCACCAAGCACTTGTTCTGGAAGCACGGAACGGAGAGCGTTCTGTGCCGCAAGTGTTTGCAGAAGAAGTGGCCGCACATATATCACTTCTGCATACCGCCCACGGCGTTCGTCTGCGAGGAGTGCAGCTCGAGCTTCAGTCGCGCGGTGGCGCTCAAAGTGCACAAGAGGCTGCACTCCAACGACTCGCCGTACAGCTGCGACGAGTGCACGGAACGCTTCATATCGAGGAAGCTGCTGGCGAAACATCAGGCCGCGCATAGGGAACCGGAGCCGGAAGACGTCTACGTGAACGTGACGGACGTGGTGAACGATCCGTCGTCGGACAAAGACGAGAGATCGGAGAAGGACGCTTTGACGACGACGACGACGATCGACAGTGCCGCGGCGACGGGACTCGCGGTGGAAACCGCGTCGAAGAGCGTCAAAGAGGCTGTGAAAAGAGTGGTCGACGTTTACGATCTGCCGCCGCTCAATCTGTCGTCCGAGAGCGACACCGACAGCGAGGAGGAGAAGGTGGCCACCGTGGAGAAGCCACCGGAGAAGGAAAAGATCGACGAGGACGTGGCGGAAAAGAAGAGCGAAATTGTCGAGGAAACCGTCGCCGCCGCCGCCGTCGTCGCTGCCGACGATGACGTCACCGCGCTGACCAACGATATCGTCGAAGTGGAGCGGAACGAGGAGGAAAAGAAGCAGGAAGCGCGCATCATGGACGGCATATGGGACAACTTCAAGACTTACGCCGCCAGCCTAGACGTGGAGGAGTCCGCTAAGAACGTCGCGTTGAAAGAGAGCGTGCCTGAGACCGATGCTGCGTACTTGAGGAGCATCGTTCTTGCCGATCACGATTATCACGTGGTGTATCGCGACAAAGAGAAGAGCGAGGAGGTGGCGACTTGCAAGGATAACGACGGGGCGGAGGAGCAGCGGCACGACGTCAAACCTGAGAGAACCCCGTCGCCCAGCAGTCCGACTCGCAATGCCGACAACGACGCGAGCAAGCGCAAGACGAAGACGCCGAAGAAGAAGAAGCGGAGCGGCAGCGCGTCGTCCACGAGCGACTCCTCGACCGACAGCGATACGAGCAGCTGCTCGTGCGGCGACAACTGCAGCTGCAGCAGTTCCTCCTCCGGCAGCTCGTCCAGTTCCAGCAGCAGCTCCGACTCCGACAGCTCCGCGTCCGAGAGCTCGCCGCGGAAGCAGTCGAGCGGCCGGAAAGATCGGAGCAAGAAGGAGAGGGAAATCGCGCGGGAGAACAAGTCGCAGTCAGCCGAGCCGGAGAACAAGCCGGAGATGACGATAGAAAATGGTTCGGCAGTTCCTGAGATAACGATCGAGTCACCGACACCGCCGCTGAAGCTGTTGCTACGGGAATCCGACCTGGAGACCGAGGAGACCGAGACGGACGAGGACTTCTACGATGAGCATCCGCAGCTGCTTGCCAACAAGACGGAGAAGCGCAATCAGCTGCAGCTGCTGGCCGCCGTCGCGTCGGCATCGGCACCGACGTCGTTGCCGGCGATGGAGCAGCCGTCGACGCCGCTCAACAACGGCGTTTTCGACGCGGAGATGACGCTGCCGGAGATGAATGTAATGGATCAACAGCCGCAGCAACCGCAGCAACAGAAGAAGAAAGCGAAAACGAAGAAGCGGCGAAAGGGCGAGAGATCCAGGCGCAGCAACGCGACCAACGCGACGGTGGAGTCCATCAAGCTGAACATTCCCAAGGCGTTCTATTCGCAAAAGAATCTGGGATTTGCCTCGCCGGTGGCGCTGCACAACAGCAGATCCTCGACGCCGAATCTAATGCCGGCTGCGACGTGCAATGACTTCCATAGCGTTGGAGGCGCGAGCGTCACGATGGAGATGATGCAGCAGCAGGCGCCACTGGTCGCCGCCGTCGCCACCCCCGTCATCGGCATACCGAACACGAACGTCGGTGGCGGCTCGGAGACCGAAAACAAGAGGGTCTCGAAGCGAAAGCGCGTGCCGAAGCGTTTCTACGGCGACTCGAGCGATGACGAGCCGCAGGAGAAACAGCCGGCGTTCAGCCGATGGCGAAAAGTAGAGATTGCTCCGAGCAATCCGGTTTTTACGCCACCGCCACCGACGGCGATCACATCACCGTTATCGATTCCAAAGCCGACGGTGGCACCGACAAAACTGACCTTCGGCGTCAAGACCGTTACAGCGGGCGTGTACAACAGGCAGCACGCTCAGGCGGAGCAAACAGCCGGCCAGCAACAGGCCACTCCGCCCGAGGTGGCGCCGATCGCCGCCGCGCCGGCATCCGCCACCGAGTCCGAGGATCCCGCCGGAAGTAGCAGCGACAGCAGCGAGTCCGAGATGGAGGACACCGGCGGCCAGCCGGGACCACCCGGCCACAACGCCGCGCCGATAACACCGGCCGTCAACGCGCCGGCCGCGGAGCGACCCGTCAAGATCTACTGCTACTGCCAGTGTCCGTACGACGAGGTGTCGGAGATGATAGCGTGCGACGGCGAGGACTGCCGCATCGAGTGGTTCCACTTCGAGTGCGTCGGCATAATGGTGCCGCCTAAGGGCAAGTGGTATTGCCCGGACTGCCGCAAGAAGCACGGCATCGTGCAGAACAGCGACGATTACTGCGATTGATAGTTTGCTGCCGCGCGCGAGAAACGGCGACGGCGTGCTGTTACCACAATTCAACCAGATCGTTGCTTTTTAGGCGTAACGCTAGAATTGTTTTTCTTCGTTCTTTTTCACGAGCGAGCTAAGAGAGTGAGGGAGAGGAAGAGGGAGAGAAAGAGAGAGAGAGAGAGAAAAAAAGAATTAATGCTACACTGTTCCACGTTAATATTTTTCTTAAGTCGATATATACAGAAGAGGAGAGAAAGAGAGAGAGAGAGAACGCGCGCGAGAGACAGAGCGTTTGTACATAACTGTGTAAATACGTCTTAGAATTTATAAGAATGAAATGAGGTTTTTTGTGTACATTTCTTTGTACTTCTTTTAACGATGGCACCATGTATAAACACCGTAGGGTAGCTAGATAATTAAGTAGGTAAATAGATAGTAGACAACGGTGCGAAACCGCATGAGCCTAGCTTTGTGTGAGGGCGGGGCTACGTTTTATCGGAATCTTCGCCCAACGCGCCCGATCGTGATTGTCGGCACTGCTGGCACGGTGTCTGTGCCCCGATCCTTAAGCCATCCTCGCTGCCAGTTTCCGGCGCCCGAAGGTTCGGTAAGAACCGCGCTGCTGCTATAGAAATGCGTCGGGTTTTAGTTTCTCTTTGAAATACGGATGCAAAAATTACCATTGTTTCCGCCCCCCCTTTCCCTTTTTTTTTAATCAATATCGGTCAAATTGTATTTTTCAATCCGTTGAGTTATCCGGAATCGTGTTGTTAATTGTTCTCTTTAGTACGGGCGCAACTCGCGTGTCGCCTCTTAGCGCTTCCTCAAAGCGACGTACCTCCCGGAAGGCGAATCTTTCCTTGTTTTCTAGTCTATCGCGAGGCGTTCTTTTTTTTTTTTTTTTTAACGAAATAATTCTTTCACAGCACAACCCGGAACAGCCCTTCCGCCGACAGTCCTGTGCCACACCGAGAAGCCGATTAATAGCTTGTATTAATTTTGTCGCAACGCACCAGCGAGGTTGGAAGAAGTAACGTAAGATCGGCGGGCAGGGGGGCCACTCTTCGGCCACACGAATAGTTGATTAAGAAAGTAAGGACGCGCGGCAATCGCAAGTACTGTAAACATTTTGAAAATAATGATTATGGGATCTTCTCGCCGAAGACTTCATCGAACAGTATTACAGGAACAAGGAGAGGAAAAACGTGTCCGTCGTCCGCTTTTATATTGTTTTCTCGAGTTTCGTGCGCCTGCACACGTATATCTTTTTACGCGAAACATATACGAAGGACTGCAACGACAGACCAGTCCGCCAGTGTTTTTTTTTCCCGGCGTCTCTTAATCTGAATTTTAAAAAAAGGAACACCGCGTTTATTGTTTTTCGTTTTTTATCGATTGTTGGCGCTTAATCAAGCTCGCTACAGCGGTAAATAGTTATAAAAGAAAAACCTCTTAGAGTACAGCAAGTAACCGCGCTGATTTCCTCAAATTGTCAGCCCTAGTTTTCCTTCAGCAACTCAATATCCATGATGTGCATGGTGAAATCTTTGTAAGATATTCTCTGTATCATAACATAACAATACATTACTCTCGGGAAGCCTAACGACGAACTTATCTTGTTTATTTTACATTCACCGCCTACCGTATATTCTTAAGTAACAATTTGCAACTTGGAGGGGAAAGAAGAAGGATAGTTACCGATGGGAGAAAATTAAAGGACGTGGATCTTCGCGTCGGACTTGAGCGACGGTTCTCGATCATTTTCTCGTCAGGAGGTACGAGTGATCTGAGATACGTGTACGCTTCTTGCAGAGTCAACGGGTCACCTACGAATAAGATGAAATGAAGAGAAAGATGTACATCGTTGAATATTGGAAATAAGTTCAATCATTTATTTCGCAAGTAATACAAATTTAGTTTCAATTTTAATTAATTTTATACCTTTCATTTCTATTTGTCGGCAGATTTTTAAGTTATTTTTGTTGTAATATTTAAAATGTAGTGTTACAATATTAATTAGTATAATTGTTTAACAATTGTTTTGAATGAAAGCACAGATAATGTAAAACTAAATTTGATAGATTAATGAATTCTACGTCAAAATACAACAGTAAAGATTTAAAACCAGACTTGTATTTTCGACAAAATCAATTAATAATGAGCGAATCAACTAATGGACTCACCGATAGCTTTACTGTCTTCTGTCAAAATACCGAATAAAATATTCATAAACTGCTCTCGCGTTAAAGTAGGAGTTTCCACACTGTTAAAATTCTCTTCGACGAAAGTACGAAAAGCTTCTTTTATCTGATGCATACCGAGTTCAAACACCGGTCGGTGATTCACATAAAGTCGCACAAATTCCTCGAAGGTGACTTCTTTGACAAGTTCGCCGGTTTCGACGTAATATTTGTAACACACTTCCGCTATGATATTCTCTATCTTAAATAAAATTTGTTTCAACAAATATTCTGCCTCAACATGACATATACAATGTCTTAAAAAACAGGACTTTACAATTTTAATGAGAAATAAAAGCTCATTATTCGATATAAATATACTTTTAAGACACAAGAAATAATATTTAACGTTAAATATTAAAAAAATCGTCTGCTATATCAAAGAGTTTATCACTGAAATTAAAATCAAGGCTTTTAGGACATCGTGTAACATTATACGCAAAGAATACTTCTTTGTTAGTCGGAAAATATCCAATAGCTCGCATGAGATTCGAGATCTGTTCGACACCGATGGTGTCAGAAACGATTTTAGGAGCGGTCGTACATTCTTGACGTAATATCTGCGTGTAGTAGAACAGGTCTTTTATCTCGTTTATCAGCCCGTCTTTAATAAGACGATGAAACGGCGAGAGTCCTTCGCCGCCTAATTGCGCCATTGTGTCAACGGACCTGGGAAAAAAATACTCTTTTAATCATAGCTTAGATATTAAGACTTACGTGACTCGTCATATTAAACGATGATGTCAGAAGTGAGGGATTTCATGTCATGCTCTTTGATATAACAAGTTTGCACAATGAATCAGTGACTTTGAACTAATCAATTTTAATTAATTAATATAAGAACTATTTCTGTTATACATTTTAATCAATTTACAAGATTATTAATAAAAGATAATCAAAGAAGTGGATTTTTCGAATCTATTTGATTTTAATGCAGCGTTTTGAAAAAAGTATATAAAATTTCTCACTGTTGACATCAAAATTCGATCGCAGCGAATAGTTAAAACTATAATTACTTAATCAAGAATATTAACCTGAGTCTGATTTTCCACATTAAAACACACGGATCGTTATAGCCTGCGGTAAACATCATTTCTCTGTTGTTGCTGACGGAGATGCCTGTTATCTGAAAACGGAAACGAAGTGCGATATGTGTGTCCTTTCGCAAACATAGATATATGCGTCTGGTAAGCGTTTAACTTTTTGCGGATGGCCCGTTACACTGACGATCCTGTAAGGATTGCCGTCCAGAGGCAGCAACTGTAGGCCGATTTCTCTGTCCGTTGCGAATACCATATAATCGTTGTCCCGAGATTTCTTCTTTAAAACCTGTGAAACAGTCAGTGATTTTAGCGCGAGATTCTTATCGCAGGATGCTAATCGTTTTGAGATACAAATGCATTTACCTGCAAGTGTTGCACTGGTTCTCCAAACGTCGGCCCTAAATAAGTACCGCGAACCATCTTGGTGACGTCGCTGAAGATTTTGTATTTATACTGCAATTACGAATAAGAGATCACGCCTTGTTCGTGCAATGAGCATCACAGAGCGTATTACTTCCGAATTTGAGAGCATGAGGAATCCTTCGGTGCCGAATCCAGGATACCACGCCAGGCAGAGGGGAATGGCGCTCTGTTCAACCTGATCAATGCGTAGGATTTGAAGTCCTGGCGCAGGATACGGCCCGCTGCAATCGAATTATAAAATTGTAACTTGTATTCTTTCAAGTGCAATTGTAGATTTTCGTCAATTGCTGCTTCAAATCCAGCTTACAAAAAAAAAATATTAACGTTCGCACAAATAATTTGTTAAGTGAAATCTTAATTCTCGCGAGTCACACAACGGGATACGCAGTTCACAATATTACCTGCGTTCCAAATCATACTCGACGAGCTCTCGATCTTCTCCCAAGGAGAAAAATCGCGGTATACGAGAATCGGACGCGGGCGGGCCAAAAAGTATGTCTCTGATAGGCAGATAATGCGAGTGATACTTTCCGATCAAATTCCACAGGTTGCGCTCCTTTGAAGCGGCGATGTCGTTCCTTTTGAATACCACCACTGTCAATGCGTTGTCCTGAAAAAGATGATAATCCTTATATGAATCTTAGATTTCAATTTTAGATTATGTTGCTTGTGAAATATCGAAGGCGTCGTGCTTTCTTACCGAGTAAGCCATATATTCGGCGTCTGGTGTGAACACGATTTTGTTAACGGCTACTGAAGAGTGCTTGTACGGTATCTCGTCTAGAGGATCCAAAGTGATATAATGTAGAATCCAAATCGTCCCGTTCTCTAAACCGCACGCCAGCATATCGCCTGAAGAATATTCTTCTCATGAAGATTCTTTTTTTTTTTTTTAAGTCAAAGAAACTCATCGACACGTACATCTCGGTGAGAACTTTAGAGCGGTGACGGCTTTCAAGGATTCGTGGTTCTGCGGACACGTGACGTAAATGAAGTTTCTGTCGGTTTCCTGTTTTTTGAGAACTGGCCGGAAGTCCGGAAGAGACGGCGTGCTCCTGGATGACGTCAGAATGCGCTTATCGAAGTTGTACAAGTGTACAGCGCCCTGCGCGTCTCCCACAATCACGTAATTGCTGTAGTTTGAAAAATTTCATCGTTATAATTATCACTTTTAATCAATGCAATTGTATTCTGTAGCAAGATTCGATCTGTACTTTGAATTTTATCTACCTTTCTGGATGAGCGTCTAGACTAGTCACGGTAGCAAGTGGCTGTAACACAAGACGACATTTCTGCTTTGCAATTTCTATTAATGCTATTCTTCCTGCAGAGGAGCCTAAAACAGAGAAACGAAGATTGGGAGAGACAATGTATTTAATAATATTTGTAATAATAAGTAATATAATGTTTTGTCATGTTAATCTATATCATTGTTAAAAATGTTGCAAAATAAACATCTTACATGCAAGAAAATTTCGGACATTAAATGGAGAGCTGTGTATAGTAGCATCCGTTGGCAAATTGCTTGATTTTGCCTCATTAGTTGCCTTATCTATGGATTTATCGCTCTTGTAGTTTCGTTGACCATGTTCCGCATTTGTAATGAGTTTTGACGCAGTTGCTATTTTTATTTTGCCGTTATCTTGATGCTCTGAAATATTTTAACTTGTTACACAAAACTGCATACTTTTTTTTGTTCTGCACAACAGAAGCGATCGCTTTTCTCTTCGTAGTAAAAAAATAAATGTAAAAACTAAAAATAAATAATACAATAAATAAAAGCTTATAAAGAAATATATATAAAACCATGATAAAAAATAAAAAGTGAGAATCATGATAAAGGATTAAAATTTGAAAGAAAAGAAAGATGGATTTTCTCAAAATAAGGTTTACTTTTAGATGAATCGATGGCTCGAAGATCGAAGCTAATCCATCGAATGGAATCGAGATCACAACTTTCACACCAGTACAAGAGTCTCAACTGATAATCGTAGAATGTAACGCGACCGTTCGAATTTCCCGTAACGAGCATGCTGCGAAATGAACGATTAAATCACTTTACATTACGATTATTGTTAAATTATAAATTTTATATGTATGTATACCCCTCGTTATTAATAATAACAGTAATGTTGCTCTTCTGCAAATTGACAGTCTTTATGTGTTTCTTTTTTCTGTATTTGGAATCATCGATCGCGCGATTCTCCTTGCGAGAAACATCGCCCCACACCAAGATGCATCCTGAAATAATTACATAAGTAATAATAGACAAATTCTGATTTAAACAAAAGTTGATAATTGAATTAATTATTAATAAACGAAAGATATACCATTTGTAGTCGCTGTAAATACTTGTTGCACTTTGGAACGTAGCAGGATCCATTGAAGATTCCAATACGTCGAAACTTCGCCAAGACTTGGGGATAATCGCAGCTTAAAATGTGACCGTTCTTGTTTATCAAATTTGAGAAAGATATAATATCATTGTAAATAAAATCTTTATATTTTCTCAGAATTAAAGTAAATAGGTTGAAAGATAGAATAGTAATACATAAATCATGTTTTTCCCGTTTTTTTAAACAAGTAAACTACTTTATAAAAATATTGACTGCATTAATTAATTATATTTTTTAACATGGCATCTTTTTATGACAAAATCGTTATGTGACATTAAAAAAAATTGTTTTGTACAGCAACCAAAATTAATTTTTACTGATTAATATCGTCATATGACGTATTTTTCACGAACCCAAGTTAGGAATAGAACGTGGTAATCGGTCGTCAATGCAAACTGTTCTGAATGTTCGTCATTAAAAGTTATTTCCTTGACACGTTCAGACGTAGTGTCGACCAATGAAAAGTGATGCTGAAAACATTACAATCATTATTAATACAAACTGAAATTACTCGACAATCATAAATGTTCTTAAAAATTTTGATCATAATAGATATGCTTTTTTATTAATTACGGATTTGTGTAATTTTTAATAATGTAAATAAAATACAAGTGATAGTTAATATTCTATTAAATATTCTAAGATGAGAAAATTCTTAATGAGAATAAATTAAAGGAGCGAACCATTTGGCCTGTCTTTTCCATGAGTCCACAGCCAGAAATATACGTTCTGACACTTTCCATTGCCGACGGTAACTACATGATTAGCGTCAGGACTAATACGAGCAGCTGTCATGCCCTCATTTCCATGCGGATTGAATAAAGTGCAAACGGGAGACCTGCAAGTGTTAAACAAACGTGTCAAATTTTTCTTACGCAAGGAAAATAGTTTTGCAAAACAATCTCCGAGGAAAACACTCGCCATTTCTCCGTGTCCCAAATCACAGTCACGCAATCCTGTTCAAAATCCGCTGTCAGCAGCCACTTGCCATCTCGCGTGGTCGACAACGTTCTCACAGCATTTCGCTAAGGAATGCAAAATCTCTTTTGCACAAACGCAAGGAATACATTACAATTATTTCGCTAAAAAGAGTTCAATGTACGTGGCCCAGAAGCGGTGACATCTTCCGCGAGCTGCAGTTGTAGATCATCGCAGCATGCGAGCAGGCGTATGCCACTAGCACATGATTTTCCGCAGTTAGATTTATCACCGGTACTGCCGGATTTATCCCGAAGGACCATTGTAGTTTCTGAAAGAAACAATTCTTGACAATTAAAAAGATTTTGCTCACTCCGCAACACATATCGCAACTTTATGATCCACTTACGAATGGCCAAAGATCGCGCTCCGCGAATTCCCGTTCGAAACGTTTCTTCTTTACGTTTGTTTCGTTGCTTTCGGCATTTTCGGTATCCGTTTGAAATCGGTTGGAAAACGGAAAGGCGAGAGGCATCGCCATTTTATAACAAAATGCAATCGGAAAATTCAATTTGTAAACGCTAAAGTAGAATGTGTGCACAGTTCTTGTTTCTGAGATCATCTCATTTGTAATAAAAAATATTTCTCACAAACACATGCAGAACTTGGACGTGAGTATAGTTACAGAAATTATTGCTTTCAGTCAAACACAATATATATTAACCATTAAAATTATATCAATTATAACTTCAATCAATTATAATTCAGTGTTAACTAGGAAACTTATATTGGACGTTTGGGAAATCTATTTTTACTCATATAGGAAATTGCTTTGTGTGAAAAACACATGATTTGATTTCAACAATTTATTAAATAATATTTACGTAACTTCATCGGTATGATAGTTGAGTATCACTAAATTAACGATAATTTTTTTACATCAATAATACTAACGTATTGTCTCTTGAAAAAATAATGTATATAAAAAATCATGTTAGTACAATATTGTATATAACGGATCAGTTATTTTTTTGAATTCTAGATTCCATTCTTTTATTGTTTCTTTTGTAATACTGCGGTATTCCAGCATTCTTGTATGCGGCGAAAAGCTATCTCAGCCAAAAGAGATTACCTTGCTCTTCTCACATCACAGTACAAATCGCGTTAACTCCTTAATGGATAATCGATAAAATCGGCATTCGGGAAAAAGCACAATGATGCTACGCGTGCATCGATCTAACTGCAGCAACTCTGAGGCTTCGGATCCAAGCCTGAACGCTTGGTAATGAAAATGCGTGTAAACTCCTCCGCTACCGTTGGATGAATGCCGACGGTGGACTTCAGTTTCGGTACTGTCAAGTTACACCTGCAAAAGCAGAATAAAGTGTGTTACAATTTGAAAATAAATGTTTCAACAAAAATTACCGTGTAAAGACGATTCCTTAGAATAGCACTTACTTGATAGCAGCCGCGAATCCTTGAATAACTTCGCCTGCGTTGGGTCCAACGAAGTGCATTCCAAGCACCCTCTGATCGCCGTCTTTAAGCGCGACAACCTTCACGTAACAACGGTCAACATTCTTCTGGGGTACAAAAAACTCCGTTGGTTTGTAGTAAGCATGATAAATCTCTATCGCATCCTCCCCGTGGTTCGCCACTGCAGCTTCTTCGCTTAATCCGACGCATCCGTATTCCAGAGGACTGAACACCGTTGTTGCCACATTCGTGTAATCCATTTGTTCCGTCGAGTTACCGAACAATCTTCTTGCTAGCAGTTTACCCGCGTGTATAGCGACGGGTGTTAATTCGGGTTTTTTCTGTAGTAAACAAAACCTCAAATTATATTTATGTCACATCAAAGCGCTTGAAAATGTTTAAAATTATTTCAAAGTAATTTAGCACATTTTTGATAAATGTCAGAAAAACTTACATGAAGCACATCACCAACTGCATAAATATTTGGAACATTTGTTTGTTCATTAATTGCATCGATCTTGTCAGTTTCTTCAACAAGCTTCAGTCCGGCATTCTCTGGTTTCAACTCCCGCGTGAGCGCACGTCGGCCGATGGCAAATAAAACGGTATCGTACACATCTTGATGAATTTCACCATCCTGAAAAATTCAGATTACATTACACACTAATACAGAGAAACTCATTTCTTTATTTACGTGCAAATTTTAATACAATTACCTTGTCGACCCAGTGGACGAGCAGACGGCCATCCTCTTGTTTCGTGATCTTCTTAGGTTTTGCTTGATAGATAAAATGCACACCACGTTGCTCCATCTCTTCGGCAACGAGATTTGCCATTTGCTGATCGAATCCACGCAGCACGATCGATCGAACCATTATTGTCGCATCGTAGCCCAAGCCATTAAGAAAACCAGCACACTCCAGACCAATATCTATCTCATTATTAAGGAAAGCACGCATTTGCTGCATAATTTTATTATAAATATTCAATAGAAAATTTGAGTACAAGAAACTGCATTCAAAAAAGGATACATCCAGCGCCAACGATAAGAGTCTTGCCTGGAGCACGTTCTAAACTGAAGATATCATCGCTACTTATGCCATATTCTACAGCACCTGGAATATCGGGATATCTAGGCCTACCGCCCACCGCAATTAGTACATTTTTAGCTGTCAAGACTTTTTCCTCGCCCTTCTTGGTAACTCCAACCACTGTGTGAGCATCCTTGAAATATCCAAGACAGTTGAAGTACTCGACTTTCCTATATTAATAATAAAATGTTTTTAAATAAGAATAAAAGAAAAATAAATACGAAGCTATTGACAGATTGTAACAGAGAAATGCAAAACTTACTTTGTTCTAAGCTCGACTCGAGTAACCCAGTTGACTGACTTGATATGATTTTGTACAGATGTTGTCAAGGCTTCCCAATCAATCTTCACAGTTTTCGGATCCAACTGCCAACCGAATGTTGATGCTTCCTAAAAGTTAAACAACTGTATGTCAGATAAGGATCCTTAAAACTGCTGTTGAACCACTTGCAATAATTTGAAATTCTTACATGAACAGCTTCACCAAGTAATGCAGCTTGATGCATTAATTTTTTTGGTATACATCCTACATTGACGCAAGTACCACCCAATCCCCAAGTAGTACCAAGAGGAGAGGGAGTCACATAATCCAGAACTGCCACTTTTGCTCCCAGCCCCACAGCCTCCTTCGCTGCGGCCAAACCACCAGATCCTCCACCAATGACCACCAAATCATACGTATAACCTTGATCCGCTAAAAGAAAATCATAATGTTTATATATTACATATTATATATGTAATATAATATAATAAATAAATTATAGAAAGGAAAGATCTTTGAACATGATGAAATCTTGCAAGGTTATGTAGCGTCATTGTCAAGAATGAAAAGGAAGAACGTTTCCTTGGTCAATGTAGATATATATATATATTTAAAAAGCATCCTAAACGCGTAAAACTCGCTCGTCCTTTGTAGACATTCGCCAGAATTCTTTTAAACATCAAGATCCTTCTGTTGTCAAGTTGCGCGCGCGCGCAAGCCGGCGAGTTTTGCATGATTATCGCGAAGTTATCGCGATTTCGTAAGGTTGCATGATTCCCGACGAGGATCGTTTCGTCCAGCAAACACTCACTGCACACGCAGGCCATGGTGTTCCTGCCGTAAATAAAACTGTTGTCGCATCTGGCGAACAATGCACGTTGATGTGATAACCCAAACAACTTGGCGTGCGCGCACCGAAATGACACGAGCCGCGTGAACACCGCCAGTGTCGCCATGATAATCGACTTGCGATTCACGATTGCAGTCCACGTGACGTCAACCATCAAGCTGCGTCGCGCCGCGCCGCGCCGCGCCGACGAAAATGACACGCCGCGTGTCGTCACGCAGTATCATGCCGCGGCTCCTCTTCGTGATTTCACGTCGCATCAGTGATAGCACGAGAACGAAACGAACGGCATAAAGCGCGATGAAATCGATCCTGATCACCGGCTGCAATCGTGGCCTCGGCCTGGGTCTGGTGAAACATCTGGCCGGAATGTCGAGGCCGCTGGACAATATCTTCGCGACGTGCCGGGACGCGAGCAAGGCGACGGTAAGGCAAATCGGAATGGACGATCAGCTCATCAATTGACACGGTATTCTCGACGCGATTTACGGCACATTACGCAACTCGATCCAGAATGCACTTACCGATCGGCGCCATCGCGACTCTCTTTGCTCCTCGAACGTAAGAACGAACTTTACGATCTATCGTGCGTAATTGACGAAACGTCGAGCGCGTTCCTGCGACTTGTCACGAACTCGAGCGACAGTTATGTTACACTGGCACCAACGATGACCGCTTCACTCTAGAAATCTCCGTCACCGCCATCTGTTATACGCGCACGGCCTTTCGTCCTTGTCCCCTCCAGTCGCGAATTCGTCTGAGTCAGCGAGCGATTGCTCCGGATACCGATATTTTGTCGATTGTTGCGTAAATCGGCGCAAGTTGGACCATCCAGGACCGGTTCTTCTCGGTCATTCTTGCGCGCGACCTCGGTGAACTATTATCGAGATTATTGCGGACACGATGTTCTTCTCTCAATTGCATCTCAATTCGAACAGAAAAAAAATGAAGGATTTGTTTATAGGAATTACGCGCGCTCGCCGACAAATCTTCAAATATACACATCATCGAGATAGGTGAGTTGTCGATTTTTTTTTATTACAAACACTAATTTGTATTGATTAGAGTGATTCGAATTGCACTATAAAGTAATTATCATTACGATAACGTTCTTATTGTTATCTAAAAATGTATGACGATGCAGGATGATTTGCAACTAAATCCGATGAGCTTACGAAGCATCTCGCAACTTCGATACTTATTGCAAACAATTAAAATCAGGCTTTATAAATGTTGACTACATGTAATTTTAATTCTAGAATTAGTTATTCATATCAAAGTTAAACCTTTTTAAGTTTGAAATAAAGATTCTTATAGAAGAATGTGGAAAGGCATTGACTACATGTAATTTTAATTCTAGAATTAATTATTCATATCAATTGATATTAAAAATTAAAAAGTTGCTATAAATGAATGCCTTTCCACATTCTTCTATAAGAATCTTTATTTCAAACTTAAAAAGGTTTAACTTCGATATTCTGTATAATAGTTGTAAATCATCTCGTATCAAGAGCACAATTAGATTACAATAATATGTAAAATATTTGAAAAAATTGAATACTTGTCATGCCACGATAAAATACTAGAGAAACGATGACATAAAGAAAATGTTTTTTTAAATATTTTTCACGAGCAATACATATAATTGTATACATAACAATTACTGCTCAAAAACGAGTTTCAGGGAAACGCTTACTCAATGCGGATGGAATGTTCTTTTGTTCCTGTTGATTCTCCGTTTTATTCTCTGTCTTATTCTCCACTTTGTTCTCCACGTTATTTTCCGTTTCTTCGTCGGTTTCTCGGTCACTCGAGTCAGAGTCAGAGTGTAAGGTTTGCGGTTTTTCGCGACAAATTAGCCACCACGCTTTCGACTTGTTTGCTTTACATGACTCCATACCCGCAACTGTGTACCTACTAATGCGTGAAAAGGATATAGAAATCTAAAAAGAAAACACAATCGTTACAGCCTAGAACGTTAAGACATATAGGGAAAAAAAGCGCGATTTCGCCGAGCCTGTATTAATCGATACGCGCTATCTGATAACACCTAGCGCTAGAATTTTCTACTTCGAAGACATTAAAGATCAATCTTCTCTCTACATACGATAAAGAGATCAATTTTTATTCTTTATCGTCGCATGACACGCGGCATTAACACGCGATAGTGATAATAATTGTACCACTTGAAAGTTGAATTCGTGAAAAATATCTCTCAGTGGCGTTTTGCACGTCATACTTTATCGATTCAACGCGTAATACGATTAAGTTTACCGCTTCAAAAAAATGTAGCAACCATTTCGCGGATTTGCATTTATCATTTACTCCTTATTTTCCTATAAGCAATCCCGGAAACTTGTGCAAATACTTTATCTTCGTGGTGCAAGCTCTCGGATTAATTCCACAAAATGTTACACAACACGGGAAAATCAAGGTTATCAAAAATGTACCACGCGATGCAAATAGTGGTTAAACTTAAGGTCACAATTGATTGCAAGAGTTAACGAAGTGGAAATAACCATTTCGAGATTAATTATTCATACCGGAATATATTATGTATTCAGCTCTAGCGACGATCGTTTAAATACGCGAGCGATACGATCGAAAAATAGCGCTTTACACTTCTCTCTTTCCAGATTTGGCGTACACGGATAGCTACAAAAAAATCGTGGACACGATCAATGACCAAGTGAGAGGCAACGGTCTCAATGTTCTCTTCAACAACGCTGGTATTTCCAGCAAATTTACGCGTCTCGGCCTCGTGAAGAAGCAGCAAATGACGGACGCGTTTATAGTGAACACCGTGGCGCCTATTATGCTCACAAAGGTACGCCTACAGTCATTCTACGTTCATTAATGGAGTTGAAATATTCGGTTGATAACAGAAGTGCTCGTGATAATTGATTCAAGGCTCTCTTGCCGCTGCTGAAGACGGCTGCAAAAAAGGCTGAGGACACGGCGGAGCTAAGCGTGAGGAAGGCAGCCGTTATCAATATGACTTCTGTCCTAGGCAGCATTGCTGAAAATAACGACGGCGGTTTTTACCCTTACAGATGCAGCAAGGTGAGATTATAGGATTCTAGAAATGTGTACATACGTGTATTGATACAGACATATCTTTTGTAAAATTGAAAAAAAACAAGTCCAATTTCATAATATTGAGACATCGATTTGGTCCTCTTCTTGATTTGATTTTTTAAATTTATAATATGCACGCATTAAAATTCTTTCTTATAATTCGTAACACGCGTCTGATTGAAACTCGTAATCTGTCAAGACTGAAAAGTTCAGACTGTTCTCGAATTCATCGGCACGTATTTTGCATCAGCAAGTATTTATGATAACTTAATTAGTATTTAATCTCATTCTATTTAATATTTTAAACAGGCGGCGCTTAACGCAGCGACCAAATCAATGAGCATCGATTTGAGAGCAGACGGGATTCTGGTAGCGTGTCTGCATCCTGGATGGGTACGCACTGATCTGGGTGGCAACAACGCTCCGATGGACGTTGACAGCAGTGTCAGTCATATTTTGGATACCTTGAACTCGTTGACAGAAAAGCACACTGGTTGTTTTTTGCAGTATGATGGCAAAATATTGCCCTGGTAATAATATTCCAGTCAAATGTTTGCTCAATTATTTTTATACATAACACTTGCCATTTCTACATTTTAAATACATTAAATTAATATTAAATATACATTATATAATTTTGTAAAAAACATTGTAAATATACATTATAAATTTTCGCAAATAGGATTAAAAAGAACAAGTTTTCCAAGTATCTTTCTATGCTTCATGAAACAATTTAAGTGAAAATATTATACAAACTAGATATTTCAATGAATTACTTGTGTTTTTTTCAACTCTGAATGAAATACTCGCTATAAGAGTTACTGAAAATATCTTCGTACAAAAGCTAAATGTATTGTAATTTTTTCATAAATGATGTATGAGATGCATTGAATCATTCAACTATTTTATTCGTATGAGCTCAAGCTTATTTTGTACATGTCACGGTGCTATAACGTAACGCGAAGGAATGCAAATTCTCCTATAGTATCAATAGATGAAAAAAAAAAATACTTGAGATATGTACAATGATTTTTAATGTCTAAAACGCGTGAACATGTTTACAAATATGTAAATATATGAACGTGTTTTTCTAGTAAGTTGACTTATAGCAAAATGATCATAATAGCATTCGAGTATTTCGATACCTCATGATACAACGATATATCATTATAGCGAGAAAAATAGAATTTTCAAATAAAATACTATAGTGACAGTACATAACCGAATGTACAATCCGCCTCTTAATTTTTGCTACTGAATTTTTTCAATTTTCAGAATTATTTTACAATCTCGCATCCTTATATTTATTTCAAAATAAAAATCAGGATTTAACTAATGGATCGGGCATTCGTCACATTTTTTTTGTATCCAATTAGCAGATCGTTGTCTCTAGTTCCTAAATTCAATGGGGGAAATTTGTAATAAATTCATATGTAAAAAAATAAACTCCGTTATACATAATCGAAAACGTTCCATAGGACTGATGTTATATTCATAGTTATATATGTATATGTATATATATATATATTATCTAGAAGATCTCACTAAATTTGGATGAATAAGAAAAGAGAGAAAACTTTTCTTGTGGTTCATCCATTGGAGAGGTATGATTTAACATAAAATTATTGAGTGCAAACTCACAAAAGATAGCGATTCCTAAATATGTCGATCCCTATACGATGATAGCAGTGATGTTGATTATGGGTCGACTATTAGTCAGTCTTTAATCTCTTAGGTGTAGGTTCGCTATTTTGGGAATTTGAATCTTCCGAAAAACCCAGATGTGCAGAAAAATCTGTGAGCCCTTGGGAATCGCTGACGGTGGAGAAACCTAGCGTTTCAGAAGAGCCTTATTTTGTTGGTCAATATAAGTAACGTTTTCAAAGATTATTATGATCAAACTCACATGTATTGGAATCTTCTGTTAGTCCAAAATTGGAATTTGATGAATCTATCCCTGTTTTCCTTGGTAAACCATTTTCCTTATCAGAGACTGTTTTTCCTTTTTTCTTCTACAAAATAAGACAGTTCGAATATTTAATCTTATATAATTTTAATTTACTTTATTTCTATTAATGTATATTAATAATTTTCTCACATAAAATACCTGATCAAGTGTCGAGATTGGTACCCATTTGTATATTTTCATCGTTGTCTCTCCTATAGTAACCCATTTCTTTTCCCTGTAACAATATGTACATTCTAATTGTGTATTTTATGAATTTCATTACTTTAGTAGAAAATATAAATGTATTTTGTACAGTACAAAGAAAATACAAAAGAAAAATATTAACTATTTTTCATATCAAAGCTACATTCTATTACACATTTATCTTCATTGTTGTGATAAATATGAATGGCCCACGTAACAAAATGTAGAAACAGAATATACAAAATGTTTTCAGTGGCATTAATTATAAACTTTTACTCTTGAAGTTCTCTCTAGTAAACCAGGTCTTTTACTTCTAAATTTCTTTTATTTACTAAAACATTAGTCACTAGTCCAACATGTTTTCTTCGTATCTTTAGAAGCATTTCTTTCGATAAATGAACCTAAAAATAAAGACAGAAGCAAGGAGTACTTGCTTCTGCAAAAAGTTACACTTTTTTTTATACAATCCACTTTCGTCCGAGGGACCGTGCTAAGCAACGAACACATCCGGCAAGTCACTCCCATCGAAAGCTCATCGACGCGACGCTCAAACAAACTTACCAATGGCGAACTTTATCGACTACTTGCATCACGCGTTTAATGTCATCCTTGGCACGGCTACGAGTCTCTGCGCGCACTGACCGCGACATCATATTAATGTTCTCGCGTGATTAGATCACCGGTAAACCGATTATCGCACCAGCCACCGCACCAGAAACACCGGAACATTCGTGGAGCGCGGCGAGCGGTGGAGAGGTTAGGAAAGTGACAGAGAAAACTACGAATTTCGATCGCTCATCACTTCTGCCACGGTCAAGAATAATAAGAGAGAAAGAGAGGTACTTTCTGTGATTTTCATGAAATGGTTTCGCATATTAACAACAGATGGCATGTGTGTCGAGCATCTAATTTTTCGCTGCCTAAAGCCTGCATCAAACTATGCAAATTGTTGCACCATACAGCATACAGCATTTCTAGTAATTTACTAGATCATTTGCGAATTGCTGCAATATGTTGCTTAATCTGATGTAGGCTTAAAATATTTTTTTAGGGTGTCTTTTTAGAACGTCTTTAAGAAAGTGAAAATAATTTTCAAATCAATTGAAAATATTTCTTTACTTTTTTGACTTGTGCTTCGTACATTACTTGTTTACTCATCAAGATCATTGGTATGTTTTATCGAATTTTATTAGATTGTTTCTCTCACTATATTTTTTTTATTTTTCAATTTGCTCTTTTGACTGATAGGCAATGTAATTATTATAATTATCATTATTTGTGCATATAAAAAGTAACAAAGAATTGCAATTAGAATGTTTTTAGGTTACGTTTTTTATTTTTCTTTGCATAAAAAGCAAGATTTTAGCTACAATTTTTCATGTTTTTTTAAAACTCGCTAAAAATGTTATTATTATATTTTATGCACACAAAAAATAACAAAGTGTAATTGGAATTTTGCTTTCAGGTTACGTTTTTTACATTTCTCTTGCATAAAACAAGACATTTTATACTTTGATCAGAGAGAGAAGAAAGAAAATTGGATGTACAGAACGAAAATAAACAAATAATTTGCAAGTTCTTTTGCATATGAACATTTACATATACATGAAATTGTGAGGTACAAGTTTTGTTCCGCAAACAGAACCGTTGTCGATCAACCGCTTAGCTTCTGCTGATAATCGGTAAGAATTAAATGGGGAGAGCGATTTCCTCCGCTCTAAGCCTAAGCGACTCAAATACGGAGACGCTGCAAGCGAGCGATAGCCGTTACGTTCACACACGTGTATATGAAATGGTGTTGCGAAATGCACGAAACGAGTCTCGCACGTATAAATATCAACCGTTGCTCCGGGAGCCTGATTTCTAACAGAATTCTGATTATCGTGAAATTTTCAGATACCGAAGCAGTCGACTGAGCGCGCAAGCCGAGAGATTTGATCTGAAGTTGCTGCATCGATCACGCGTACCATTGCGTTTGGAAAATTGCATTGGAGTTTTCGTCATGGTCGCGACGTCGAGCGTCGAATTTGTCATAAGCGATGTGTACGATGTCGAGAGCGGGACAATGCGGCCGTTAACTCCCTCGCGATCTCGATGGCCGCGATCAACATCATTAACACCGAAATATCGCTCGCTCTCGGCTCGGCTCAGTTGCACCATCGCGTTGATTAGCGCTAGTCCTGGTTACTTCAGTTCCCCTCCCCTCCGTCGCTCGGGCCGTATTGGGGAGGGAAACCGGTACAACTTCGGTAAGTTGAGATTTCGATGCGACAAACGCGTGAAATTGATCCCCATGTTTATCCGCGATAAGCGAAGTCGCGCGATAATTGATATCAAGTACGGTTCTTCATTCTATATTTAGAATGGAAACTTCACCTCATTGAAACCTTATCCAATCTCCGGCTTGTATTACAAATGAGTAATAAATCGGAACAGGACGACTGCTGATATAAAGCGAGCATTGTTGTTGAATTTTAGAGAAGATAACGTTTTATTTCCTCGATGGGTGGAATTTCAGAACTGTCTTTTTTTTTAACTGTATAAGAAACGACGTTAGAATAATATTTGATTAACTTGTGCAATTTTTATGAACATGCTCTCTTTTTTCAGAATAAGATATAAATACAATCTGTGCCATCATTCCGTCTGACGAGTCACACTCGTCACACTGTAATATCCACATTGTAAATGTGTGCATTAGCGTCGTGACAAGCATGCACACACACACAACGCACACGCGCGCGCGCGCGTGCATATACACGCAACGTACACCATCGAGCGAAAAGTAGGTTCTGCGGGAAGATAGCGTATAGAAGACTCATGAGGATGAACAAGCGCTAACATGTGCGAATCACGACCGGGCATCCGTCGTCAATTTACGATCGCAACGCACACAATTGAAATGGAAGTACATATAGACATATATGTAAGTTCCCGTTCTTAATATTCTTTTTTGTTGGTATTTATGCTAAGATTTTTTTTTTTCCAATCGTGACATTTATACAGGCAGGATTATATATTTGGATAAATTTATCCGCAGTGACCTTTTTTTAAGGTCGCCATCGAGAGAAAGAGAGAGGGAGAGAGAGAGAGAGAGAACATACCATATACACGTGCGAACGACTGGATCAGCGAGACGCTCGATACAAGCAGTCATATTTTTTTTATATGATGTACTTAAGCGGCACATTTTATTGGCCGAGACGCTTCCACGGCACGTCGTTTGTACACTTATGTAAATTTATGTGCGACGGTCTTTCTCTCGCAAGTGGCAACAAACGTCCCTCCACATGAGCGTCCTTCACTCTTTTGTTTGTACCTCTCACGGTGTCAGCGATAGCGACGCGTGCACGCGAGCGCGAGTGAGAGTGGAGTTAAATACCCCTCGTGGCGAGGAATGGCATCCGCGCGTTTAGACGAAAATGAAGGAAGGAAAAGAAATGCGCTGCGAAGATGGATACGACTCCCCCACGTGGCGGACTTCTCCGTATTTATAGTCCTTCGCGTCTCACGTACGTTGCTCCCGCGGTGGATTATGCATCGACGATATATGCATGCGTGCGTATGTGTGTATATATGTATGCACGCGCGTTACGTACGCTCGCGAATCGTGTAACGGGTGTACGTAATGCTCGCACGCGTCGTTACACACGTATGTAACGCTAAAGTAAACGAATGCGCGCTAACGACGGGAGACGCGGGGCGGTCGTCGCGGGGGTCACGATCATTACCTCACGCCGCTTCGGTTCGACAAGACCTGTATTCCGCCTTATCTCGGGGATCACTCGCGCTTCGCCCTTTTTCTTCCGCTCGCCGATAACCCCTTGTTATTGCGGTGATATTTCACGTCGCGTTAACGATATTGGTGTTTACCTTTGATTACCCGCGGCGTATCGTTCGCCGGAACGCGGCAATAAATTGAGGTCGTGTATTTCGTTTAATCGGAAGATACATCGCAATCGCGTTAATTTATCGTTATAGCTATTACGCGCGCCGCGGTATCTCTTTGTTGTTTTCTCTCTCTCTCTTTCTCCCTCTCCTTTTTTTCCTTCTCTCTAAGCGATTTCATTTTTCAGAAGGCGGATCATCGATCTACGGAACATAAGCGAGTACAATGACCCGGCATGAAGTTGCGTTTCGCAATGAAGGATGTACACTCTGGCATTGCGAAAGTCGTTTTCCCGCGAACACAATCGCGATCAAGCAGCGCGACATGAAGTCAATGCAGCTGCGCGTGTAACATCCACTTCGATTTAATAGACGGCTTTCCTTATGTGTAATGGATGTTCCTCTACCTGTGTTGCCAATTTATAATCTACAGAGTCACCGAGTATAATGGCAATTTAAACGACGTAAGAAACGAAGATAATCAAGTACAGATTATTATTTTGCACTGACAACACTTAATTTTGCTCCGCTTGTGCAATTTTGTACAAAAAAAAAAATAATCAGCATAAGATTATTTTAATCTCTGCATTAGTGCTTGTGGTCGCAGAATCTAATCAATGTTCGTCGTATGTAGAAATTTGTTTTGCATAGTCTATAATTAACTATTATATTGTGATACACAAAAATCTTAGTAACTATAAATAATTGTTATAAAAAAATCTATTAAATAATCTAACATTTTCTCAAATTTAACATGTGTGAATATTCGGTATTCTTGTGTTGAGTATTTACAGAAGATAATGTTACGTCTGAATGCAAACATTTAGGTTTCAGATATAGAGAATGCAGATTGAAAACAGAGATACTATTCACTTTCGAATGCTAAGGAATTCATTTCTACGACCATGAATATATAACACTGGAGATCATAGCGGGAATAAAAATATGCCGTTTCGCGTTCGTGGGTGCAAGGACGATGAGGCAGTACGCATTTATACGATCGTTTTATGATCAAATAAGGTCGAGGTTTTAGCAGGACCAAGAATTGAAGCCAATCAATTTGTTAATGTATGTATTTTAATTTAAAATAATTAATAATTATTCAAATTGCGATACTATCCAGACAGCACACATGTCCAAAATACATCCAAAGGATATCCGAAGGATATCCAGAAAACGTCTTGTAGTCCCAAAAACATTCTCTGGACGTCTTTTGGATATGTTGTGCTGTCTAGGTGTATCAAATGTAATTTACGTGGAACTGATTTTTCTTTTCAGAGTATCTCCTGCAACAATGAAAATGCAAAGAAATGACTTATAAGTACATCTAGTTTCTTCATAAAAACATGAAGATTGATTTAATGAGTTTCGTGGTCAACGCGAAGTTAAATTTTACGCAGCTATTAAATTTCATAGAAATACAACGAGGGAGACCAAAATAAGCAATACATGTTGCAATAGACTTGCTATCACTATCATTTCTATGCCAGTGCCAGTGCGACATAAATTAGATATTAAATTACAGTGTATAATTACAAATGTTACGTATGTATAAGTTACATGTTATACAATGTATATCGATATGTTACATGTGTATTATATTAATTACAAGTTATTTAACGTGATCCAGGCGGAGGGGGATCGAATCAACATGCGCGAGAGAAGGCGCCGCGGTTCGGGAGAACAGAACACGACCGCGCCGTCTCGCGCTGTTCGAGTACGAGGAGGGTTCGCGGTAGTCGTGGTAGGGACAATAACGACATCGTGTCGCGCTTTGCTATCGCGCGGAGAATCACGGGCAAATCAAACATGGCGATTCAGTCGCTGTTTACGGTGCAAGCATACGGTTTCTAGTGGTGTGGCAGCGGGTACTGTTGCACGGAGGAGACTTTCGGACGGTGATATACGATTGTGCCATCGCGCATTGACAGATTTCGGTAGATATTGTGATCATGGACGCGCCTGAGGCAGAAACAACGACGGAGAAAGTGTTGGGCGGCGTCGATAGAGGCATACGCGACGCGAAGGGCGTAAAAGTGGAGTCGACGCCTGCGGCGTCATCACGCCCAGGCGTCGAGCAAGTGCCTCGACCTACCGGCGAGAATACGAAACGGGAGCAGAATGTTGATCATTCGAACGGGAAGAACGTAAGTACCGACAGTCGATAATTTTATATTTGACAAAGTATTTCATCAAATTCAAATTGCAATATTGTTTTTTAATTTGATTTATAGAGTCTGCTGTGACTATTTTGAAATGTTTTGTGTATTCGGTGTATTGTTTGATCTATAAATAAAATTATTTTTTAAATTATGATATAAAATAACAATATATTAATAATTCAATCGTTACATTCTATATTTGTAAAATTTAATACTGTGCTTTTTTTATTTTGTAGTGTCGAGTATCACTTATACAGTTCTGTGGAAGATTGAAAAGTGGTAGTGGCAGTGGTGATCAGGACAGTGGTCATCATGATGATGGAACAGATATTACGGCAAAGAAAAGAAAAACTCGTAGGGGCAAACCCAAGCATAGGAAATTGAAACCCTATTCGAAACAATTGTCTTATCAGCAACAATTGCGGAGTAGGTCAATTGGTAGAAATGCGAAAACTGGTAGGCAGCCACCAGCTCCATATAATACCACGCAGTTTCTTATGGCTGATCATGGCGATCTGCCTGATCTCGAACAAAAACTATCTGAAGCTGCATCGTTGGATGTACCTACTATGTTTACGAAACCACCAGCGCCAACGCGTACTCGGGATTCCAGTTTCAGCGTTGATTCGGATGAAGATTACTTTTACTCATCGCCAGAAGATGAAGAGGAATTTTTAACGAAGGAATTCTCGACTGCATACGAAGCTCTTCACGAAGAAAGGTTGAACACTTTGACGAAAACAGATTTAATTCAGGAATACAAACATTTAGAAGCCAAAATGGATTCGTTGACAAAAAGATTACGTAATAAGAGCATTCATCAAATGGAAGAAAGGGATCCGGAAGGCAAAAACGTCTCCAATTCAGAAACGGCAGAAATAGCAAAGAAATTGAAATTGTACCAACAACGGATCGATGATTTGATACAACAAAATGAACAGCTGAGGCGGGAGAACGAAATGTTACGTAGTGAAAAGAGATTGCACGCTAGCAGCTCTGAGTCCAGTGTCGACAGTGAAAGCGACAGCGATAGTTCTAGTAATAGCAACCAAAGTGGATGTAGTTGCTCTCTCTCAAGCCCAGAGACGTCCCCTAAGCATACTTACAAATTTAGATTAGATAATAGTGTAAGAACAGATAGCAAAAGCGACAGCTGCGATACTAGCCCAAGTGCAAGCCCAAGAACATCATCTATAACACCTACTAATTTTTCTAATGGTCACACGATCATTAATGAAACAGGTAGTTTTCCCACATAGATTCTGAAATGTATTCTTTACTATATTGAAATTACGTTCGATATTATGAAATTTTCTCAAAAAAGTCAGGCTATGTGTATCCACTAAATCTATCCTCTTAATATCTGAAGAGACGTGTTATTCAATGAATTTTGTTATTGAACAGCATTCCTTCATTCTTCCGATATCTGCTAAATCATGCGTTAGGCTATCGTTTAATGTCTCGTTACAATTCGCCAGTTCACTCTCTTTTTCTTTTTTTTTTCCTCTTAAAACTACATATACATACAATCATGTGGATATATATGTATAACAATATGATAAATATAGAATTAATGTTCCATAGGAACACCAGGATCTCCTTCGCATCTGTTTGTGCTAGTTTATTGTCTGCTTGGCAAAATCTATACATTTATGAAATGTTTGCATTCAACATGCATATTTCTCTTTCCTGTTTACTCTATTATAGTACACTACGAAATTTAATTGCGGTCTTTCAGAGCCTGATTTTCTTCTTCTTTCGCGTACTGCCAATTGTTAGGACTGTGCTAAGTTTGTGTAAATGCAGGTCTACAGACCATCAACTAACAGACCTATGTACATATACGCATGGGTGAAATGAATTTTTTTAAACCCATCAGAAGTATTATATGTATTATATGTAATATTTTTTGACAATGTAATGAATTATATATAATAGAAAGTTAAAAATCTTTGTACACATGCAATTGTATAGTTTTAGAAGATAAGGCGAAATGTTAGTTTATGGTCTGATAAATATAAGGTATGCAAAAATGTTTTACATTTTTGACTTTAAATAAATCTTAAGTTCTTCAATCTTTTCTGTTGTAAACAGTATATCTATTTCATATCCTGATTGTTCAAAACTTTTCTCATTTTCTGTCATTTTAGATATTTTGCTTAATAATGAGGACTGGACCAAACTGTTTTTATTTATATTTAAACCAATTAACACAAAATGGGGATCAACGGACGGAGTACGGAAAATATTGATAATCAGTAATAAATGGTGTAATTATTGTATAAATTTATTTATTTTATTTTATATATTTATTATGACAAAACTAATATGTTATTAATAATTTATATTATTAATTATTAATAATATATTTTTATGGTATATATATATTATTAATGTTTATTAATGATTTGATTTGTAATATATTTTATATATTGTTAGCATCATAGTACTAGAAGCAGAAAATTTATATGGGAGCGCCAAATGTTGCATCTAATTACGAGCAGTCATTGATGCACGGAAATATCAAGAAGTGGCATCGTAGACCATAGAGGTGAGATTTGCTTACAATCTGTTTTTTGGTATCGGATTCAACATTCCAGGTTTGTTCGCGTCGCAATCCCCAACATGCTCTTATTCGCTCCAATACGCCTCAATCTATAGTACTACGTCACGTATACTATAGATTGGAACGAGTAGGAGCATGTTGGCGCACGCGAATAGACCTTCCCGAGTCCATTGCAAAGCGGCTTAACACGCCTGAAATGTGACCAACTTCATGGCGCGATAAATTGAAAAACACAGTACACAAGCGCTCGGTTGCGCTTGGTCAAAATTTGTGGTTGTACAAGAGTGTTTATCGGCTACCAGGCGATATAGTATGAAAGCGATGTCTCATCATTACGTGGTGACGGCACACAAACCAACGGCTGTCACTGCCTGCGTAACCGGTAAGTGATTAGATCCTGAGAAATTACTAAGAGAAAGCTCTGAAGGATATTGCTCTGAAAAAATTATTGCTTCTTTGTTGCGTTCTCCCAAAGGTAATTTTACTTCACCCACGGATTTGAACCTGATATTGGCGAAAAATGTACGCTTGGAGATATATCTGGTGACACCGGAAGGCCTGAGACCTCTAAAAGAAGTCGGGATCTACGGCAAAATTGCCGTCATAAAATTCTTCAGACCACCGGTGAGGTTATCTTTTTGTGAGGTTATTTCTATGTCGACTGATCATGAAAGATATCTGTTTATGTTCATCGCGAGTTTTGTTTACAGCAGTTTTGTTACCTTTTATTAATAAATCGCAAAGAAAAGCATGTCTATTTCAATTTCTAATGATTTAGGTAAATTAGATTGGATGCTTTTACAGCATTACATTTATTATATAGTATTAAAATATGGTAAATGATCTCTTTTTAGGAGAGACTGTTCTTCAAGTTTTATTAGAGAAAGTTATGCAATTTATGAAAATTTATGTAAAAATTACACAGCCATATCATTATCCAAGATTAAGATTATAAATTAAATACTTATTTGATGAAAATAATGCACAATATGTATTTACAAAAGTTTTATTTTCTGACAGCATGAGAAAAAGGACCTCTTATTTCTGTTAACAACACGTTACAATGCTATGATTTTGGAATGTATCGGTGAGGGAGAAGACATTGAAATCATAACAAAGGCTCATGGAAACGTCGCAGATCGTATCGGAAAGGCTTCCGAAACTGGGATTAAAGCCGTCATTGATCCGAAAGCACGGGTGATCGGTCTCAGATTGTACGATGGTCTGTTTAAGATTATACCTCTGGACAAGGATAATCCAGAGCTTAAGGCATCTTCAATACGTATGGACGAGCAGCAAGTGCAAGATGTCAATTTTCTTCACGGATGCGCTAATCCCACCTTGATTCTAATCCATCAAGATATTAACGGCAGACACGTGAAAACACACGAGATAAACTTGAGGGATAAGGAATTTTCAAAGATACCCTGGAGGCAGGATAATGTAGAGCGAGAAGCCATGATGGTGATTCCCGTACCTTCTCCCATTTGCGGGGCCATCATAATAGGACAGGAGAGCATTATATATCACGACGGTACGACATACGTCGCTGTTGTGCCACCGATCATAAAGCAGAGCACTATCACCTGCTACGCGAAGGTGGATAATCAAGGATTGCGATACTTGCTGGGCGACATGGCCGGTCACTTGTTCATGTTGTTCTTGGAGCAGGAAAAGAAGCCCGACGGGACTCAAGTGGTGAAGGATTTGAAAGTCGAGCTGCTGGGCGAAATCAGTATACCGGAATGCATAACTTACCTGGACAACGGCGTGATATACGTCGGTAGTCGCCTGGGCGATTCTCAGTTGATCAAACTAATCACAAAGGCAGATGAAAATGGATCCTACTGCGCCCCCATGGAAACTTTCACCAACTTGGCGCCTATCGTCGACATGGCTGTAGTAGATCTGGAAAGGCAGGGCCAGGGACAGATGGTGACGTGCTCCGGCGCTTTTAAGGAAGGTTCCCTCAGAATTATCCGAAACGGCATAGGCATCCAAGAGCACGCGAGCATTGATCTGCCGGGGATTAAAGGTATGTGGGCTCTGAAGGTCGGCGGCGGGAGTTTCGATAATACATTGGTGCTGTCGTTCGTTGGACAGACGAGAATCTTGACTCTGAACGGCGAGGAAGTCGAGGAGACGGAGATACCGGGCTTCGTCGCGGACGAGCAGACATTCCACACGGGCAACGTCACCAATGACCTATTTATCCAGATAACTCCGACGTCCGCCAGATTGATTTCGCACGAGAGAAAGATAGTGGTTTCCGAGTGGGAGCCGCAGAACAAGAGAACAATCAGCGTGGTGGCCTGCAACGGCACGCAGGTCCTGTGCGCCACAGGAAACGATCTCTTCTACATGGAAATCTCGTGCGACCAGATCGTGTCCAAGGGATTCGTCACTTTGCAGCACGAAGTGGCGTGCCTGGACATCTCGCCGCTCGAGGGTGTCACCGAGGCGAAAATCGTTGCCGTCGGACTGTGGACGGACATATCCGTTCGCATTCTCACTCTGCCCGGCTTGGAAGAGATCAATAAAGAGCTCCTCGGCGGCGAGATTATACCCAGATCGATTTTGATGACTTGCTTCGAGGGTAACACGTACTTACTTTGCGCACTGGGCGACGGCAGCATGTACTACTTCACTCTGCACAGGCAGAACGGCGTGCTCTCGGACAAGAAGAAGGTCACCCTGGGAACGCAACCCACGGTTCTCAGGACCTTCCGCTCGCTGTCCACGACAAACGTGTTCGCATGCTCGGACAGGCCGACGGTGATTTACTCCTCGAATCACAAGCTGGTCTTCAGCAACGTCAATCTCAAGGAGGTGAATCATATGTGCTCCCTGAACGCGGAGTCGTATCCCGACAGTCTGGCGCTGGCCACCGACAGCACGGTGACGATCGGCACGATCGACGAGATCCAGAAGCTCCACATAAGAACGGTGCCGTTGGGGGAGTCGCCGAGACGAATCGCTTATCAAGAAAGCTCGCAGACCTTCGGGGTGATAACAATGCGCGTGGACGTGCAGGAGAGCAGCGGTATGAGCATCGTCAGGCATTCCGCGTCCACTCAGGCGGCCTCCACGTCCAGCAGCAGTCAGATCGCGTCGCACAACAAGCCGAGCGGGCACACCGCCAGCGAGATCGGCCAGGAGATCGAGGTGCACAATCTCCTCATCATCGATCAGCACACGTTCGAGGTGCTGCACGCGCACACGCTGATGCCCACCGAATACGCGCTGTCGCTCATCTCGACGCGACTCGGCGAGGACCCGACGTCCTACTTCGTCGTTGGAACCGCGTTCATAAATCCGGACGAGACCGAGCCGAAGATGGGCAGGATATTGCTGTATCATTGGAGCGACGGAAAGTTCGCGCAGGTCGCGGAGAAGGAAATCAAGGGCTCGTGCTACTCGCTCGTCGAGTTCAACGGCAAACTTCTCGCGAGCATCAACAGCACCGTACGATTGTTCGAGTGGACCGCGGAGAAGGAGCTCAGACTGGAGTGCAGTCACTTCAATAACATTATAGCGCTTTACTTGAAGACCAAGGGCGACTTTGTCTTGGTGGGCGACCTTATGAGATCCCTCACACTGCTTCAGTACAAGACGATGGAAGGTAGCTTCGAGGAGATAGCCAGGGACTACAATCCCAATTGGATGACCGCTATCGAGATACTGGACGATGATACCTTCCTGGGCGCCGAGAATTGCTTCAATCTCTTTGTGTGTCAGAAAGACAGGTACGCGTGATGCAGAAACATAGATTTGTATATTTTTGACGAAAAGTAAATATGGATATTTTTTTTTAAATTTATATACAACATTGATATTAAATACAACTAAAGTATACATATTTCTTTTCTAGCGCCGCGACGTCCGAAGATGAGAGGCAGCAAATGCAGGAAGTAGGTCAGTTTCATCTAGGTGACATGGTCAACGTCTTCCGGCACGGTTCATTGGTGATGCAGAATTTGGGAGAATCGAGCACACCTACGTTGGGCTGCGTATTGTTTGGGACTGTTAGCGGTGCAATTGGTCTAGTGACACAAATTCCGTTCGCATTTTACGAATTCCTGCGCAACTTGGAGGACAAACTGAACAGCGTGATAAAAAGCGTGGGAAAAATAGAGCATCACTTCTGGAGGAGTTTCAATACGGAATTAAAGATCGAACCATGCGAGGGCTTTATAGACGGCGATCTGATCGAAAGTTTCCTGGACTTGAATCACGACAAAATGGCGGAAGTTGCAATGGGCCTTATGGTAATATACATGTTTTCCTACGTGTTTCTCTTCTCACCGTTCACATTTTATATTAATTCCTGCAAACTTTGTTCATAGATCGACGACGGCAGCGGCATGAAAAAGGAAGCGACGGTAGATGATCTAGTAAAAATAGTGGAAGATCTTACAAGGATACATTAAATAATATTTAAGTGAACAATATTTAAATTTGTGAAATGTCTGTACTAGAAGACGTAAGACGGATTCAGACAGCGATTTAAGCGGGAACGCAAACGTTTATACAGTCATCTTTACTATCATTGTACGCAGAAACGTAAATGGCGTAAATTATCTTTTTGTCTGTAGATCTTTTTTGTATGCATCCCTGAGAGTGAATAATTTTGAGGATCTGGTTCGTGTGAGAAAATTCGTTCACTTTCATTTGTCATATGTTACATCGGCGAGCAGTAATTTTTAGAATCTTGCATATGACGTAGAGATAATTACAGCGTAGAGCGACATTGGCTGGTAAATTATTTTCAAAGAGTGCTCGGATTTCTAGTACCTTTGTATCTTTGTAAGATTGAGTGTAAATAAAAAGGATTTTAGCTAACGGACCTCTCCCTGTCATCATACAACCACAACGATCACTTGTTCATTTATTGGCGTTGACAGTAGCTTTCAGCGTTTCCGGATCGAACAGCCAGCTGCGTAACTCCTCCACTCCTTGACCCGTCATTCCGCTGGTCTCGAGCACCGTGATCTTCTGCGTCACTTCCCGTTGCAGACGCGCGTATTGCAACATCAGCAGTGCCTCGTTTCTCATCTGACGATACGATACGTCCATCTTGTTCAAGATAAGAGCGACTTTCACGTTCCGCAATCGCGGCTCCACGAGGAAGGAATAAAATAACACGCCCGCAGCACTTATTTGACAAAGATTACTGGTGTCCACTACATAAATTATTTTATGAATCTGGCAACACACAAGAAGGAATATCTCGTTAGTATTTAAAAATGTATCGCGAATTTTTGCGCGATATGCTTTTTTTTTTTTTTACCTTGTCGAAATAATACTTCCATAGCGGTGCCATGTTGCCTCCGATTTCCTGAATTATCATATCAAATTCGCCAGTATCATTTTTCACGGTGAATAAATTTACTCCATTGGTGGGTACGGTATGAGTTGCGTCGTCGATCTCATCTCCCTGAAGATTCTTCATTAAAAGAGTCTTGCCTGATTTGAATGGCCCGAGGCAGAGGCACATTGTTTATTTACATACACATCGATGAATCGTCCAACCTGATAAATACCGCAGTCTAAACGTCAACAGGCCGATATTGATTTAACAAGCTCATCGCCAGCATGACTTGCGTGACATACTTTCGTTAGTGATGTTTTAAACTAGTGACTGTTAAAACATGAAAGTAGCAAAAACTCGTTTCGAATCCAACAATCGGAAAAATGTTTTAACGGTTCAGCCTTTTAATCGAAGTAATTTTAATTAATCCTGCAATTAGCGCTTCAATTAAACACACGCAGCTCATGGCTTGTAGGACTCAACGCAGTAGAAAATGCCCATAAGTTCGTTATAAATTAATTATATTTACATTCACAATATGAATTTTTAAACATTATATACATTTTCTTTTCTAAATACGAAAAATATATTACTTACATTGTACCTCACGACCTTAAAACTTTTATTGCAACAGTTTTACTCGCTAACATGTTTACTTCGTGGTTTTAACAAAACTAAAAAAAAAATTAATTCATCTACCACTGAGAAATAAAGGAAACTATAAAATCTCTTTTCATTGCGGTCCCATTCGACAACTTGGCACAATGAAGAGTCAATGTTGTCGAATTACTATCTAGATAATGGCAGTAATCTTCTAACACTGTACATCTCGTTTTTTGCAAATAAAAAAAAGAAAAAAAAAACAACATGAATGATATGATTTTTACGTTTGTACGTAGCAAACATCGTATACGTAATTGAGATTTAAATAAAACGGCAATAATACTATTGTAATATAATAATACAATAATCGCTTTGTGTCAACAGTAAATTTATGTCAGCTTATAAGTACAGAATTTTTATTGAACGTGATAGTGAATTCTTGTAAGCTCCTTCCTTTACACAACATAAAATGAGAATGTACACCAACATACATACATTCATTCTTTGATTAATTTGCATGTTGATTTCTTAACAAAATTATGCGTGGAAATTATACTACCTCACATTTTGGTATAATTCTTTCACATTCCGTCACGTGTAGTAGAAATTAAAGAGCACAATTTTTTCTCGCAATAACGCGTGACAGAATAAAATATTGTAGGTAAAAATATCGTTGAGATAATAAGACTTTCCCGAAAAGACGAAGTTTTCTGGAAACAAACAACAAAGCAATAGATCTTTGTAAAATAATAAACAAGAGTTTACATGCATATCTATTGCGATGGCACGATGTGTGCGCCAATCTAAAAAAATATACTAAAATATTGATATATATTCACCGTCAACTTAAAATTTATGTTTCACGCATATCCAATATCACGAGATTTTCAAGAACAAATACAAAATAATGAATACCTTAAGAGAATTTATCTAACGTGTTTACAAATTATAATTTTTTTGTATCAGTCTAAGCTCTGTAGTATATCATGTACATTATATATATCTTCCGTTTCCACGTAAGAATGATCTTGCGATTTGCGTGTCTGATAGCAACTTGGGAAAAATATGGGGTCTCGTCTAACATAGCGACGAACAGTATGCACGTTCAACAATGAACACGCATGCCATTGTGGGAGAGCATTTCTTTAATTCGTTGTCAATAAATCCATTTGCATCAAACTGACTGAGAATCGAGATCTTTCTCCCGTGAAATATATATAATAACACAGTACCCTATAACTGGTAATAATAAACAACAATTCTAGTATATGCCTCTTTGCTATAAATAATTTAATAATAATTTTTGATATACTATCATAGCGCAATGCAATGATAAATAATTGCTTTCCATATGTAGAATCTTACTTATGTATGTCTTAAACTGGTGCTTCCATAAATAATTAATATTAATAAATATTAATCATAGATAAAAGCAATTCGTAAAATGGCGGTACCGATAATGCTATCTATAAGTGAAAAAGTTTGTATGTACAAACACAATCCATTTAATCATCGTGTTTCCAAGTGTCATGTGTTTGAAGAGCTACTATATTTATTTGTCTAGTGTTATTTGATCACTGTGAGCTATTAAACTCGTCGATTCTTTTCCAATAATTATCATTATTTTCAAAGTAATGGGGTTTTCTATCTTAATAACAATATCTAAAAATTATATATTTTTTAGAGCGGGTATTGTCCGCGATAAAAGGGGTCTTTGCATACTATTATTTCACTTCATCCCGCAACTGCACCGCACTTCTCCCGCTGAACACGTCTACTTCTGTTTAGCAGATGCACTTTTTTTTTTTCCTTTCTCCAAATCTATTCGTTCAGTAGCGCAGTCACGCGCATCATCATCAAACGGAAAGTTTTTAAGGCAGTTTTAAGGCTCGCAGGGAGAAGGCGACACGCAATAGAAAGGGTCAGCCATAGAAACATAAAATGGCACGCTTGTCATTGGAAAATTGTTGTTTTAGAGTAAGGCACGCACTTGAATCGGCATTTGCCATAAATGCAAACGCTTGTCTTTAGTTCCAGCTATAATCTGAAACATAATACAAAGTAATAAGTAATAACATTCAAAAAAAGCTAGCTATTAGCATCTTATCTTCACACGTAATTAAAAATTTCATAAAAATAAGTATACGTAAACAACTTTTCTTTCACTTTAAGATATTAGACAAGCAATTATTATGAAAAGTCAAAGCTTACGCACCTTGTTATCTACAACTTCTATACTCAATACCATATTTCCCGGACCAGGCATGCTGCAGATTAATTTGTGATTCTGCAAACAGATTTAATTGAATATAAAATATGCAGATATATTTTCGTGTTACATAATACGCATATAAATACTCACCCTTGTATCAAAAACATAAATATTGCCGTTATAGCAGCCTGCGAATAGCAACTGTCCATAAAGCCGCATACATACGATACCGACGCCAGCGTCATATTGATTTGATTCTTCGCCCGTCTGAAAATATTATATTTCAAATATAATTTAACTCAATTTCTATTCCGACAGATGCGCAACAGCTATCGTTACTCACTGTAAAATCAAAAACGTTTATCGACGTGCCGCTTGTGCCACAATAGATCAGATTGTGATTGCGCAACAAACTATAAACCGTGCTATTCTTCTCGCTACTAATGGTACGCAGAAACAGACCATTATGCGCGTCTCGTATAGTAATCGGCACACTTCGAGACGCTACGATCAGAACTTGCCGCGATCCTTCGTTCGTCGCTTTCAGCGCAAGCACAGATTGTTCCGAAAATGCTATACTGCTTCTCCTAAGGACACCGGACTGCAAATGAATGCAAAAATATAAATATTAACATACATTTTTTCATATAAATTAAATGTTCAATATAAATTCTTCTTTATTTCTGTATTTTTTAGAGGCATTTAATCAAGCACTATTTACCTTGATATGATAACGCGAAACATGGCCAGATTTAGTTCCGATAAAAATGCATCCCCACCCTTCATCCATGCACTGAATCGGACTGTTTATGTTTGCAGGATTCCTCACCAATGTACCGGTCTGAAAAGCAATTCATTTGTTTATTTTTCCGGTAGAATTTTCAATTTTTTCGCTCAGTCTGAAATATCTTACCATTATATTGTAGCAGCGCAAGGTGCCGTCTAAGGAACCGGAATACATCAATTCTTTCTTAGTGCCTGCGACATCCGATTTGTAAATGTACAAGCATGTAACCGCGGATTTGTGCCCTTTGTAGATGTTCAATATTCCATTAGACGTTTGACTGTACCTATAGATCTTGCCATCCTCGCTCGCCGCTAGGAAAGAATTTTCCAAAATCTGAAAAGAGAAAGAAACAAGTTTCATATTTCGATTGTTTTATACAAGTTACACACGATCGCTCGTGTCAGATTATTACCTTAATATCTAAAATAGGGCCATTGTGAGCCGCATACTGCTTTCTCTGCTCTTCGTCAATTTCCGTGGCACCTGAAACTTGTTGAGCGACGCCGGCATCGTTGCTCCTCTCGATCGCTTTAACCTCCGCGGCTTCGATTTCAGCCTTGTCTTTATCGTAAGACGTTTCCGCGTGCGGAAAACTTTTCTTTGAAACTGCAGCGGAATTCATCGCGATATCTTGATCCCACGCAGAACGTTGCGCACATGATATGTTACTCGATACGGGAGGATTAATAACGACAGTTCCGGACTTGCTCGGCACTCCGGTGCCAACGTTCTGCTTTAGATAGCTGTATTTACAATCGATCAGTCTCACTTTGCAATTTCTGATTTGCCATTCCGTGTGCGTCCTCTTCTTGCCGATCACCGGGCCGTCACTCTTGGACGCCGCGGGCTCCGCTCTGAGATTTGATTTAATCGGCTCCTCGACGTTCGCTTCGGGCTCGGCGCTCGCGAGCACCTTTCGAGCACTTTGCTCCTTCTGAGCAGCGCGATTCTTTCGCACGTTGTTCAGGTTTCTTTCGTCGCGCATCGCCCAGCTGGGGGCTTTGCTGCCTTGGCGCGCCGACGAGTCCCTCTCGTGGGCGCTCGAGTCTTGTTCACTGCTGTTCGAGTTGCTGTCGACGTCATTTAGCTTGGGTTTCATATTCTCATTGCTGTACCTCTTGCTTCTTCGCACCGGCATCGATGCGTCGTACCTTCGACGAGACCTCTTGCCCGTCTCTCCGCTTTTCCGAAGATCGGCCACCCTGTTAAACGGGAAAACGGACATGGACGTGTGCTCCGAGTCGGATCTCTGCTCGATCGACATCTCGTTGGACTCTTCCGACCTTTCACTCGGCGGCATCGAGCTGCCGGTGTTCTGCTCGCTGTCCAGAACCCGCTCAAATACACGCGGCGTCACGCCGGTGTTGGTTTTCTGTTCCTTCTGCACCGTTGAGTCCTTCGTGTTTTGATCATCTTGTCGCGAGGCGGCCGCGTCGTTCGAAAGCTGCTCCGATTCAGCATCCGATCTTTTCTCCGTCGTATCAATCTTCTTCGCAACGGTGTCGGCATCACGACACAACGGTGTCGTATCCGTCGCTACTTTAGTGCATCGGTCGGACGCGACGCTGTCCCGAGTGTCTTCGTTCTCGGTGACGTCGGAATAACCGGACTTGGCGGTATCTAATTGCGGAACGGATTGCACATCTCCGACGCAGTCGGTCGTCGTCTTCTCCGATTCTTGCGGTTTGCACGTATCTCCCTCATCACGAGTTGCTTCTTTGGTCACGTGTTTCTCCTTCTCGACTAGTTTCTCACTCTCCTCTTCCCTCTTATCCCCCTTCGCGAGATCGACTTCCCTCTCCGTCGGCTCAACAGTCGGCGGGACACTTTGCGCATTTTGTTCCTTCTCCTCCAATTTCTCCACGACAGTCGAGACCGCGTTTGACGTGGGGTCGATCAGAGCGGCGTCCTCCTTCAACTTCTGCAACAATCCCAGACTGAAATCGTTCTTTATCAAGATCGTCGGTACGGATACTTTAATATCGAAACTGCGCGACGCGATGTTACTCGGATCCTTCGGCTGAGCGCCGTCGTAATCCGACGAGTGGCTCTCCATTAAAGTTTCCTCGGGGCTCACGCCGCCGTCAGGCTGCGCGTCACGCTCGCTGAGGAAGGTCTTGTCCTGATTCACGGCTTTGAAGACGTGATTCGAGCCGTCGGCGCCGGGCGCGTCGTCGCTGTCCCGCCGCAAGTCCGTGGCCGCTTCCATATCCTCCTTTTCCCGGCAAGGCCAATCCGAATTGGCGTTCGCCTCGACGTCGACGTAGAACTTGTCGGCCTGCGGGACCACCGCGCTGGACGTGGTCGGCGCGTCCGTGGGGGCTTGCGCTTCCGGCTGCGGTTCGTAAAGATTCTCCACTCTGTTCTCCGCCACGGCGTTGATCACCTCGTCCATATTTTTCAAAACGCTCGGTTCGACGGCGAAGCCCGCGTCCTTTTTCTGGCTCAGCATGTCGAGCAGATCTCGCTTCTGCCGCAGCTTCTTGATGTACAATTTGGACAGCGGCAGGTTCTCCTCGTCCAGTGTCAGCTTGTTGACCGACTTCAGGTAGTTGCTCAGCTGCTGCTTCTTCTGCCTGCGCATGTGCGCGGTCAGCTTTCGCGTTCTCGCCTGCTCCCGCTTGAGCTTCACGTCCAGCAAAGCAAGACCCGTTGCTTTCCTGTTCTCGTGCATCTCCGACGCGGTGTTCTGCACCAGAGAGTCCCACGTGCTGTCGTCGGAGTATATCGACAAGGGCTCCGGCGTGCTGTGCACCTGCGCGCCCAGCGTCTGAGAATTCGTCGCCTTCGTCGCCTCGCTCGGCGCCGAGGCGTCGTTCTTCTTATCCTGACTGAAACGTTCCGCGCGCTCGGCCTCTTTTTCGCTTGAATTCTGCCGCTTTGAATTGTCCGCATCTTTATCCGAGCTGGTCGCACGCTTTGTAGATTTGTCGACGTCGATATTTTTCGCTTCCTGCGCTCGCGCGTCGCGATCCGACTCAGACTTCCGCACAGCGGTCTTATTAGTCGAACCGTCTGCTTTCTTACCCGCGGAAGTCTTCGGGCTCTGCTGCTCCGCCCTTTCGTCGAGATCATCCTCATCTTCATCATCTTCATCATCTTCATCCTCCTCCTTCTCCTCCTCCTCTTCCCGTCTGCCTATTTCCAACCGCGGTGTTTTCTTCCATTTAATCACGGGCATTTTCTTCTGCGTGTAGCGTACAATCTCATCGTCCTCCGAGGTGTGCGATACAGTTGTCTTTCTCTTAATCGGCGATTGTTTCGGCGACTGTTTCGGCGGATGTTTGTCCCGTTTGGCGTGGTTTTCGTCGGTCGTATTTTGCGCCAGCAACGAAAGCAACTTCGACGGAGTCGAAATGGTAACTTTGTTGTCTTCCATTAAATTCGATAAAGTGGAGCTCTTCGGTGCGAAATTTTCAGTCGGCGAAGAGCGCTGCAGCTTCTCGTGCAGCTCTAACTTTTCCGTCATCAATTTGTGGATCTCAATGTCGATTTCGAGCATTCTAGCCAGAATGTCTTCTCTCGCGGTCTTTCCGGATTGTTTAAGATTTTTCAACTTTTTCGTCAAATTATTCCCATCTCTGGATCGATACTTCATTCGCCGTTTATTCTTTAAATTATGCAACCTGTCCTTCCGCTTCTTGCGATCCTTATAAATACTGTCTCGCATTTTGTCCGGACTCTTCTGCGTCTTTTTTTCCGTTGCTACATCCGATTCTTTTACATTTTTTAATTCCAGGGCCACGTTGCATTGCATATTGTTGGAAAAACGATTTTCGATATGGCGTGACGGTGTTACGGATCTATTCTGGCCGATACTGAGGTCACTGCAAGCTTGTTTATCGCTTTCTCTTAACGAAATATTTATGTTTACAAAATCCTGCGCGACACACGTGTTATTCTGCATTTTAAGGTTAGCCGGCGTGTTTACGTGCCACAGTGTTTGATAATTCAAATCTATTCCGCTATGCGGTGTTTTTTCTAATATCCCGATCGCCGACACCTCGCTCGCAGTCGCCGCGCTACTCGGAGATTTCAAAAAGAGATTCGTCGCGGCCTCCTTCAGGGCGGCTTTAGTCGGGACGTTCAATGTCCTCGGTATATCGGCCACGATCGGCGAACATTCCACCGGCGTTCCCGCGAGTATATCGCTATTCACCGACGAGAGATGCTTGAAACTGAACTCGCACCGTTCCGCTTTTTCGCGCGACAAATCCGCGCAGGCCGCGATCATCGTCGTTTCCGGCGTGATCGTCGGCGTGATGTCGTACGCGGGGCTTTCCCGATGAACGGAGAAATGCGCGGACGCGTCGTCCTTGTTGTCGAACGCGGCGGTGCTTTGCAAACGATCGTCCAAGTAAAACATGTTGTCCAAGTGCTCGTCGAAGTCCGGCAGTTTGTCGCACGGCGTTTTCTCCGACGACACATGCGTCTCCAAGTACATGTGATTATTGAGCTGCTCCACGCCTTGGCCTTCCGGTCGCAGCGCGTCGTCGGAAATCGTAGCGTCTATCGCGTCGGTTAAGCTAGGATCGGCTGTGGTCTTGAGTTTATCCGTCAGATCTTTCATACGCGTCTCGTCCTGTATCATTTCCTCCTCGTTGATAAACATGGACTCTTTGATCGCGAGTTCCGCGTTCGACGCGTACCTATCCTCGCTTATCAATTGTTTCTCCGTTTCGCTATTAGTATTGACGTCGTTATCGTCCTCGTGCAATGCAGTCGTAACTATCTCGCTGAGAGATTTCGCCGCACACTCTTCTCCGTCCGCCGCTAAACTGCACTTATCACTCCTCTCGCTCGTCGCGCATTCCTTATCTGAAGCAAGTAAAGTAACGTCAAAAGTGATATTAAAGTTGCTACTAATATTCATGTTATTAGCATAATCGTCAACGACAGGCTCGAGCATCCCGGAATCTCGTTCCCGTCCGATTTGCATCTCTTTATCAGTCATACAATTTACGTTACAATCATCTATCGGCTTCTCGTACTAGCTTCGTATATCGTAATTAACTCAAAGTTGAATAAATTAGGCTGCTGAAAATCCACCGCGGTTTCTTGAAGAAAGCCCTTGAACGGACTGCCCACGCTCTCGGGAGATGCAACGCCGT